GCTCATGCTGCGTAACAATACTGCCCAACACCAAAAGCTTTCATAATTCGTAATGAGTCATTTCCCTAAACTGATTACTGTGTTTAATTATGCGCCAGCGAATAACTCAACAATTTCTGTGTCTGTTTTAATATGCTGGCGCTAGTTGGAATGTGAGACAAATTAATTTCACTATTTCTAATTATAAACTCTCATCATTCACATTACAAAATTGCTAGATCTGTGCAGTAGTTGGGTTGGCTTCTCTGCTTAGATCTATCTATGGATGGATACCAATGCATAAATATGCCATAACAGGTATTTTAATTACTCTGCCCCTGTTCGTAATTACTGATTTTACGGACGTATTTACAGGTTTAAGAGTTACATATAAAAGCAATTTTATTTTTCAGGATAGTTCTAACGGCGAAGAGAACTAAAAGATAGAGGGTGGACGGAAAAGGGTTAATTATTGAGTATTATTCCTTCATAATGAAACCAAGGTCTCAACTTTAGTACCTGGGATATCTAACTTTCGAATATATGTGCAACTGCGCGCATTACATGTACATATAGGCCGTCTAATAGTAGACTGATTGGAATTCTACCGAATTAATGGCTCAATGCATTGCATTCTATTGCTCTATTTTGGCCAAACCTCCTATTTTGAGCTGACTAACTGGCTGGGGAATAAGTTTGGTTAAAGTTTCTCTCAAAATTAAACCTGTGCGACTACTTTCCATAGCCGACAGCCGTGGAAATTTGCTTAATCCTTCGCTGCGAGTCTAAATGCTCTTCTCAACAACGACGGACAAGTCCCACTTGAGGACTCCTTGAGAATTCCTCAAAGTATTATTGACAACCGACTCGGTTCTGGAATGTATAATGAAGTCTCCTCAACATAGACAGTCCATAGCCTCATGTGCCTGCAGAGAAAGTGGTGTCACCAAAATTGGTGTCAGTTGCATGACAGTATCAAATGAATGAATATTCTGCTTGGTGAATCTTGTTACTTGCAAGCGAAAAACGAATGCATAGATTTGCAATAACAATGAAGGATAACCGTTTTATGGATTCTGGTATTTCAATTTGTCATGCATCAAGGTTATTTGATTAATATGACCAATGCTAATAATAATATTCAAATTCATAATGTAAATTACTGACAGGACCGAGATTTGAATTTAAGAAAATTATACAACCTCTCGACATGGATATCCATGTAAGATCGTACTTGCATATTATTTATAAAATTTGATAAGTATTCAATATTCTATTATAATTATTGTCAGCTGCTGTCACTCATTTTCTAAGAATTGTATTTAAAATTACCTATGAGTGAGACTCACCTTTGCTGTTACTGAGTTTTAGCTCTTGCGAACACAATAAGTGAGTGCATTCGTTGATGAAAGATTGTTATTAAATCCACATGAGGAGAAAGTGGGGCTGCTTATAATAACAATAATACCAAATTGTTCACTTGAGGGTTGATATTCATGTGCAGAAGGACTATATGTAATAATGCTGGTGATCTGTGCTTCAAAGAACACAACAAAGAAAGTGGCACGGTACCCGAAACCGTAGTGGTAGAAAATCTTCAAACGCATTCTTTTTTGTAAATACATGGATATCACTTGTACTCACACATATGTAAATACGTCCCATAAATCATCACATCCCTCCAATTTTCCTCAATTTGCATTTGATTGTTAGGCACAAACTCCTACGTGAATAAATAAATGTGTGTGATGTTGGTATAGTCTGGTAAATGCTAATAAATAGATTACCTACAACACTAACAATGGGACCATCGCATTATTTTGGTTCATTACACATTTTGAACATTTTGAACGTTACATTTTTTAATGCTTTGCTTACGGCATATGCTATACAAGCATTGAAAAGAAAGCGTAGGTAGAACTTGAAGTTCGTCCATTGTTTGGTGGTAACAAAAGCACGTCTATAACAAAACCAACTGCTCCTTAAATCGATTAACTGTACGAGTGAAGAAGAAGATGATGAATGGTCCTTAGGGCCGATCGTCTTCTTCTCTCTCAACCTCTCTCTGTCCGATGCCGTATTTTATCGGTAACATCCGATGACAACTACATTATCCTATGTCCTACTGCTCAGTAGAGTAGTCTCACTTGCCAACATTACAGAAGAAGTGAAGCATTTGCCTAAGACAACCACAAACTATCACCATGAACGGACACTGACTGTTCCTCAGCAAAAGACCACACCACTCAGCTACTCAACCAGCCTCCATACTTGGAAACCCACCCGGTTCATGAAGAAAGAAAGTCTTAGGAAAGTACATAAGTGGTAAAATGCCAAAATTGCCACTTGGATGGAATCCTCCGCCACCACGGTCGTGCAGCCTTCCTCCCAATTTTCCAATGTTCGAATCTTGCTCAGCATGGTAGGCATGGGGGAGCATTGCTTTGTTGGCTGGTTGGTGTGTGGCATTGGTTCGAGAGTGAATATTTGATCAGTGTGTAGTATATGTAAAGACGACTCGCGTCGCTCTCTTTGACCAAAACTTATTTCTTCGTGACATGGAAAATATACGATTCATATAGATTTTCGTTTGTGATGTCACGTAATGTGGAAGCGGGTCACACCCAATACATCATTCATTCTTGCGACTACTGACTTACCAGTCAGTTGATTCACGTCCACAACTTGGTCCAGTACATACCAGTGAATTATTGGCCAAAGGGAGATGTAACGCGTCAACAGGAAATTCATGGTGAAACTTATTTTCTCTTCTTTCTCACTCCTCGCTTCACTTGTTTCAAACCTTGTTTACCAACTTGACAGCGAGATTAACAATGGATAAACAAAAGCACTTTGCCAAATATACTCTTTTTAAAGCTGAAAGTAATGTTGTGAAAAGACCATGCATAAATAATTCACCTGCTGAACGTTCGTGTAGAACAATTCCATAATTTTAATTTAGGAAAGGGAAGAAGATGGAGAGGAGAGCGAGGTGGGATCGTCAATGATTGTTCCATCTCCTCCATTCACATCCTAAAATTTAATTGCAGACAAGAAATGTAGATTGAGCACATAAATCAAATAATGTGGTGGATGGACCAGCGCTGTGTGTGGGAAGGATCTCTCTCTGGTGAGCTCAAAAAGGAGTAAAGTTTTCAAAAAGCCAACCGTCGGAGGAGGAAGAGGACGGGTGAAGCCTCTCGTCCTGCCTTCTTAACGCTCCAGGGTGTCTGGCAAAAACTTGAAAGGGTGCCACACGATGATGATGCAAGTTGGGTTATTGCCTTAGAATACTAATAAGTACACTTTGGCTGTTGGTGGAAATAAAAAAGTTTCCTCTCTTCTCTCGTAATTGTTACACTTTTAATTGTCAGAGCCAATTACCCGAATTTAATTTTATTCCCTCATAAGAAGTCATGCAACAGTCATATTTTGTTATTCGACAAATTTCAGCATACATACACCAACTGGAATAATATCATTCTTATCATCATGTTAACATCGAGTAGTTTAATGCAGACATTTCATTAATCGTTAAATATAACGACAATGGAACAATAGACACCTATGTACGAGGCGGCTAATTAGCGTAATGGGACCAGTTATCGTGCTATCTCTTTGCTAAAGATACAGCAGAGCATTCTTGTCATCAAAACCACACCCAATTATTGTAGCCGTAAAAGTGGTAATAAATTAACTAAAATTCTATACAAAATTAGTCATCACCCTGTCGTATTTAGTAGCAGCGTACTTATAGTCCTTGCTTTAAGCCAGAATTTTTGTTTGATTTTTGAGGGTTGGCTTGAAATGCTGCATTCTTCTTTCTGAAACAATATTTATTTTTCTCTACGGGATCAACTTTGACTTTCACCAGTTCTTAAGTAACTCGCTTTCCATCTCATGCGAAATCTCTGAACGAAATCATTTTCAGTCCAAATCTGTGCTCTTTGGTTGAAGAGAGAAAGCAAAATCTAGAGACGACGACACGAAGGCGACGAGGACGAATGCGATAGTGAACCAAACCGTGCAGGATGATTCGATTATATAAGTTAGAGGCTCGCTGAGACTACGACTTTCACTTTTAACATTTCGTACACCACGGCGACACAGTTGATGCTCTCTCAATTCCTCTCCAACTCTTATACATACGTCGTCAGCCAGAACAAACTCGGATTTTCTGGTGCTGTTCTGCTTCCTATTTCCGATTCAACAGATTTTACTACTTAAAATCCTTCCTTCCGGCTTCCTCATCATGTCTCATCATAATTTGTATCTTTTCCTCTGTCAGAAGGTGGATCCGCCTCATTATTAAATCAGACAGATGGGTAGATACCAGACCTGCAAATTTCTGGTATTAACTTAAGTAATTACACAAATATCTCATTACACTCCAGGTAGATGCCTATCAACTTGCCAACCAAGCCCATCAGGAGTGAATTTGTTTACATTCTAGTGGTTTGGACAGAGCAGGTTTTTTCGTGAACGTCGTCATCAAGCGTGTACCCAACCTACCACCACTCGGATTGAAATAAAGTAGGAAGAGAATTTATAAGCCGTTGAATAATCGAGCTGTTTTGGTTTCCTAAAATGTGGAGCACGCTTGAAAGTGGTGTTGTGGTGGTGAGAATAATCCAGAATCAGGAATGGATAGGTCTTCTACACTAGAAGGCGAAGGACGTTAGTGAAAAATCAGGGCAGAGAAAAAAAAAGAAAGAAAGGTCCTTTGGCAAATAGGATTCACTTCATAAGAGGGGCTAAAATAACTCTCTTTATCATCATTTCCTCCACTCCTACGTAATAGCGAAATGGATCGCATCAAGAAAAATAGACGAGTTTCTTTCTCCTACTTATCTGGTTGCTTCTTCGCACATGTAGTTGCAAATGTACAGTCTGCGTTCTCATCTCTCGTGCGAGTATCTATTTTTTCTGTGGGTGAGGTGGTGGTATTGCATATATTATTTCCCCCTATCGCCGCTTTGAGTACTGAATGAATGGGCGAATTCAGAGCAACATTGATGGGATATTATTTTGTGAAGGAACTTATATTATTTTTATTCATGAGCTCCCATAACTTAATTTTATGACCGAATTCACAATAATACTGACATCAAAATTAGAAGCAGGCACATTTTTAGTCTGATGTAACTTCAATTAAATTATTTATAAATGAAACTTAGAAATTACTTGTACATATATTAATAAAGCAGCAGTCAAGTTTTTGGCACTTTTAATTTTTTTAAGCTAATCAGACTCGCTATGTGAATTTTCTCCGTTTTCATTGAACAAGTTATACAATTTTGGCCACAACTATTCCTGTAGTTATAGACTCACTTATCGTTTATAGGGATCTTCACGAAATGGCATTTCTGTACATTAAGTTGAAAAGCTGGAGGAAATAAGGTTGTCGCTTTCTTTCTTTTTGAGATATTTTTATCTCTTGTGTCTGCTGCTACTGTCAAATGATGTCTTTCGATCTGGTGAGTATTCACTCACCAGGCAAACAATGTAACAACGGTACACTGTTATTATGCTACATTGTTTTATGGGCTGGCTTTTCCTGGACACATTTGACTCGAGCAGTGGAACATCATTCAATATAGAGGATCATATTATTACTTCTTCCACAATGATTGTATCGTGAGCCAGGATGTCTGCATAGACACATAAAGTGCATCGGTCTGTGTGTTGTGAATCTCCTGATGTCAAGGAAGGCTTGTGAAACTGGGGAGCTCGTGTTTATTGCTTTCTCTTAATGAAGACCGTTCGAAATATCTTTGTCAGCTTGACCAAGTGAGTATTTGGTCCGTTTGACTACCCAATTACAATCTGGTGACATAAAACCAGTTGTGTTCGTGGATGGACGAGGGTTCACATGGTCACAGGCTGGTTTGCGGTTGGTGTTTGCGATATTTGGTGAGATGACTTTCACTGTCAGCTTGCTTCATTCTAATTCTGCATTCTATTTCCAAGAAATACGTGGGAGACGAAGAGTCCTTTCTTAATTTCCCCAGTTTTACAAAGTGGCTTTCGTCCGTTGAGTCTGAAATATTTCAGAAAATTATGGTGAGTCTGGTAGCACAATTATGATATATATTTTCTATGTACGTATAACATTGTGAAGAGCTTTTGGCTAATAATATATAAGTGACACTCCGTCAGTATTCAGATTGCTGATAGAGGGATTAAGTTCGCCGGGAGAAGTTTGTTGAGTTTTTGCTTTCTTCATCAAATTCCTACCTTACCACATTATTTTCGAAGCAACATGAGGGGAATATTTTTAACTCATATTGTGTCATATTTTGATGACGACTATTATTATGCTATTGTTATCTTGCACAGTTCACTCTATAAGTCTACCATAATGTTGAAGAATACAAATGCTAAACATGGTTACCTTACCTATTGAACTCCCACATTGTGCTTAATTTTTGAACTGAAGAAACCGTTGCAAACGAAATGTATCAAAAGGATGAAACCAAATGGGGTACCCGTGGCTTACGTCGCCAATTGAAATTTTCTACCTTTGACCTCATTACCGTGGCGCCGTGGTCTACAATGTTCATCGCCGAACTTAATTCCTCCTCGGAAATTAGAAACACGTTAGTGAAAGACCGTAATCCGAAATCCCATTCGAGAGTTATCGTGAATACGGACAGACAAGGAATGATCAAATTTTTCAAAATATATTCAACACAATTTTACATATTAAAATTGGAATTAGTAATCTTGAGAGATGTACCTGACCGATTCAACAAATGCAAAAAAAGATGTAACTAACGTTAAATGGCTACATCTTTGCACCTGGTCAAACCACTTGGGGGTACACTTATTGGGCACTACAATATATCAAAGGACATACAAATCTGAGAGGGAGATGGTGTGAGACTCTCCTCCAAAGTACGAAAAACTGAAGCAATAAATGGCTCATCACAGCCAAAATAAACCAGGAGTACATATCGTGATCAGAAATCGAAATCACGACTATCACGAGTCTGCCTTTGACACTCCTCTCGTGTACAGTCTCCATTTAACTTTAGGTCGGAATTGCTTTTCAAAGACGTGTTTCACCAATTTTCAACTCCAATATAAAAACACATTGCTTTCTCCGTCAAAGTCCGAGCAAACGAGCCGTACGGCCCACTTCTAGTATTAAGTAGTACGAAGAGGCGAGAATGCATCCTAGTGCTACTTAAGTGTCAAATTGCACTTAAGTATGTACAAACAGACTTTTGATGGTGGATAATTTGCAACAACGAGATACTCTCGTAATAATTTGCCAACTTTGTCTATAGTGAAGAGCAGAAATATGTTGTGGTAGCCAAAAAGTAAATCATGTAGGTATTTTTTCTATCCTAAATATGCATATCTGTGTGTGTGTACATATGTACATACACATATGTAGATCTGCTACAACTTTTGGCACGGCTAATGATAGAGTCATGATGATCGGAAGCAGGCCGATTGCTCTGAAGATATGTACGGAAGGAGAAGAAAGAATGAATGATTTAATCGAGATCGCTTTCTGATGATGATGATGACCGTCGAAGAGAGATGTTAATTCCAGATAAAGTAGGTCAATCAGGAGATCACAACATTTTCCAAATAATTGGGTAGTACGATGAGCAATGTGAAATGAATGCATAGCAGGATGGAATCTAAATAAATACTAAGATCACGGAATTCAAATTGCACAAATTATATAAAATCTTTGATCAAATTGCGCTGCACCATTTGATAAAGGATTTTCCATAATAAAAAATAATTCTCTGCATTTGACATTATTAAAGAAAGGAAGAAGGCATCTTTCTAGTGGTTTTATGATCCGTGATAACAATTTCAGTTTTATTGATTCGAAGTAAGAAATTCGACGCTGTAATATTCCAGACTGGCTATGCAAATTCGACCAATTTCGAAGCATCTATAAAGATTCTTCTCCTGATTACCAAGTAATTTCAATTTGATCCAACTTCCACAATCCAGAATATGCATGCATAGTGCGAGTGGCGGATATACGTTTTCCAGGCAATATCTCCGTTCGTTTCATCTCAGGTCAAAATTTTTATTCAATCAGACCCGACTGCTCCAACTCTGACCAAACTCATTTTGATTCATTCATCCAAAACCATTAACTTTTTGGAGCTTGGAATCCGATTTGACTTATTGCTCCTCATGGTTGTATTAATAGGTACATTCTGTCTAACTCTTAAAGTTCTCTCAGATCTGATGCGTTCCAAGAGTCCGCGGAAATGAAAACTGAATTACTTCCAAAGAGGCTCATTCTAGGATAAGAAATCGTATTCAAGTCTCAAAGTATCAGTTTGATCAAGAAATTCAATCGGGTTGGAAAAGTCGAAATTCATTTGGAATAATCTGCCTCCTGCAATTGACTTGAGTTATTTATCACAGATTTGGAAATGGATAAACGTAGAATTATCTGCATAATTCTGATGGTCAGTGAAATGAAAAGTATTTTGAGAAAATGCAGCTGGTGTGCTATTCGAAAGTTGGGGAAACGAGAAACTTTCTTGAACAGCAACTGTCAGGAACCCACAACTGTTCTTGACAAATAGCAATCACACATCAAAACCAGTAACATCTCTCTTGTTGACAAGTAGAAGTATCCGTAACTGTTGCCCTTTTTATAGCGTATGTACATACTTTTTTGCATGAATCTATAAATTACCCTTAAACGTACAAGCCATACATTTTCTCCGTCATGTAGGTTACATACACTACATACATACACTATTTAAAATTATAAAACACGAAAAACTATTACATGAAAAACTACTATATTAAACTATGCATAAAATAATAAGTAATGAGAAAGAGAAATGCATATCGCTCTCGGGAGATGCATATGAATATCCATCCCATTACTTTTTCATTTATCCAATGTCAATAAGTGTCACAACTCTTTCAAATCTCGATGCTCATGACATGCACCTGCAGTACAAGCCTCGTCGGAACAAATGGTGTACACATATCAGTATGTGTATGTAAGCATGTACATACATATGGACATATAAAACATTTGATTTGATTTCACTCAAAGTGAATGTCAGTCGGAGAATAAACTGAAAGGTTTGGTGGTGAAGAAGTGGTGAAAATAGGTACAAATCGAGAGCATGGAATTCAGGGAGCGAGAGATTCGCTAAAAACAATCCCATGAAATGTATTGAATGCCGAAAGGAGACATGGGCTGAGTGGAAAACTTTGTGGATATATACGTCAGCACTCCTCGAAACTGCAAACACCATGTCATGAAAAGATAGAGGATGTAAAAGTGTCAATTTTACAAAAGGAGGAGAGCAGGTTATGCTAGTTTCCCTATTTATTTCATTCGACGAGGAGGATGAGGAGGCGACATGGGAAACATGGGAAGAGGGGAAGACGACAGGTTATATAAAATCGCAATAAAATTCAAAACAGAGGAAGTGAATTGAATAAAGAGCTGATAGATAAGCTGAAAGGAACTTCCGTCAAAAAATTGTGATTGGTATTGAAAAGGAGGTTGTAAAGGTCGAAAATAACAATGCAATTTCCATTGAACAAGCTACTTACTGGGCTCCAGCGACAATCAAATGTAGACATTAGACATTAGACTCCCATTTCACTTCCCATTCCCTCCCATCCTCGTCGTCTCAAAAATAGGGAGGCTGCTGCTGCTGCTGCTGATGGCGGTTGTGTGGAGACTTTGCTAGTGAAGGAGAAAGTAGTCTTTCATTCATTGTGCCATTAGCCACAGTTGGACCGATTGGAGCTGAATAAATGTTCCAAATGGGATCACTCCTCAGAAGTCAGCCGCTCCACTCCACTCTCCCTCCCGCATTCATCTTCCATATCAATGGACAGATGTGGAGGAGGACCGTGGATTTAGTCAGACAGGGAGAAAGTAAGACCGTAGTTGGGAAAGTATGTAAGTAGTGGATGGAGGGCGACCTATACCTGTGAGTTTCCTTAACTGGAGGTGAAATGATTAGAAATCGAACTTCTCGGACTGTCTTTCCCCCTCCTCCTCTTCGTGCGATAGGAAATTTGCGAAAAGCGCCTCACTCACTCACTCCCTTCATGGCTTCTTTGTTTTCTCCGAGCCTCTCCCTTCCGACAGCCCTCTTTATCAATCTCGTGTCCAATCTCATTCCCCCGACGACGTGTATGAATGAATGGAAGGAAATATCTGAAAATGAGAATGGAAGATCTCCACTGCCACGGCTCGTTGCCAGGACAGAGCAGAGCAGTCGGCTTAGGACGACGCGTTTCCTGGACAGTTTTCTCAGCATAGCACACAGGAGAAAGTTAAAAGAGTATAATAACAAGGTCACACAGCTCGGGGATGACCATGGAATAAAAACCATGGATGTGCATATGAAACGCACTTGGCTGAAACCTACATAATCTTGAAGTGGTTTCCTTTCAAATAGAACCTCAGAAATGTTAGAATTGAAGAAGAATAAAAAAATCCATGCAACATCAATTTCTGGAACCAGCATGGTTATGGTATCATGGATCATAGCCATCATGTCCTCAGACAAATTCAGCCAACCGTGAATCGTTGTCAACCTCCAATTCAGATAGTTTAGAAAAGGGTCCAAAAAATCTTCCTCGTTACATCGGCAACATTTTACTAAAATAAAAAGGACTGGCAGATACAGTTACGACTATTAAAATCCGTCATTGCATAGAAAGTGGGCAAACGTGTCACTGCAAAATGACTTTTGGGTCGATGGTTGGATGAAACTCAAAGTCTCCAAATCTATCCAGTAAAACTTTAATGTCTCACATATCATGATAAAAGACAACGGTCGCGTACTTATATGTATTACATTTAGTCTGGTCCATCATTCAGACACTCGCCTTAATAAATATTAGATGACGGATTAGATTAAGCTGTGTAAGGGATTCGATCCAATATATGAACAACCAAATAATTCACGAACCTGTAATTGACAACCAAAAACATAATAAACTTGAATGGATATTTGAAGAAAATTTGTAGCTTTCTTTCATCACTACAATCAATTCTTGCTACTACCTTGTCTTCAACAACTGCGCATCGTCCTGTGTAATTTGTTTTCGTGTTTCAGGCTTCGTTCATAATCTCCAACCAACTCTGGTCCTTGTTTTCATGCTACTCGTGCTGGCTAGTTAGTTCCACGTGGAAGACACAAGCTCCTGCCTTTCTTTTTACATGTGGCGAATGTAAGGGTCGTCGGTGAAGATTATAGTCCATTATTATTATTACACTCAGGATGCCCTTTTGAGAAGGCCATAAATTAACCCTGCGTTTCGACATCACTTGTTTTAGCTTCAATGTTTAACCCTGCTGCTGCCCTGCTTTCTCCAATGCATGGACGGCCGTATGCACATGTTCCCAGCTTGTAATTTTCGTCATCTCTTTCATCCACCACCCTTTAGACGACGTTGCTCGTGCTCCCCAGACTCTGCCATGTCAACACTATTACACACAATAAAAGGTCCAAGTTGGAACAGCAGAGCTAAATAAAATGATCATAAGACTGGGAGTACGTCACTCACATGCAAAGCCAGCAGCAATATTTTCTGATCTTGAAGGTTTAGTACAACAATAGGGTTGGATGGATGTAATAAAGAGTACAGAATTGAGTATATACATACATATATATACGCAGGATTATTATCATTAAGCATTAGCAAAATCATGTCAGCCAAACAGAATTAGGTAGCTCCAACTCCAACTCATCATGCACGCGACTCAAGATTTTGAGTATTAATTTTCATAGCCGGTGCGTACTTGTCTTACTCAACTTGCTGGAGAATAGAAAGCGGATAGAATAGATAATTACAACAGTTTACCATATAAAAACTATATAAAGATTTTTACTTCGCAATAATAGGGATAAGTTTCTAAATTGAATTTAGGGCAAACACGTACCGCTCTCGTCAATTTACAGAGTCTGAGAAACATGAGTTTTGTACAAGTGAGTCGGTAACAAACATGTGTATCTATAATCTACATCGTTACGTCAGTCTATTTCACTGTAGTTAGCGGACCTACTACTAGAGAAAACTGATTTTGACAAACTTGTCTCAAAATGCATATCTTTACGTGAGTTCGAAAATGGGCATGGTTTGTCTAATTTACTTGTCCAGTGGGGTGAGTTAGGTTGTTGGCGTTGTACGTACCAACTATTTTGTCGTACAAACTCAAAATTTGGTACAAGTGCGTATCTAATAATATAAAATCAAACTCAAGAATAGTTTGAGAATGAAGCTGACATAGGAAGAAGAATGTCTTGTAAAACTAACATCTTGTAAGAAAGGATGCATCTGCACAGCATGTTTTTAGCAATTTTGTGAGATTCTCATAAAAATCATTCCGTCTCAATTCGAAGTCTTTGTGGGGATAAATTTGGTGAGAATTCACAGTTCGCTCACCCTGGTGAGCCTAAGCCGCACTCAGATTCTCTCTCACATTGATAACATGCTCGTGCCGATTTAGTAACGGGAACGGAAAAGTCTTTTTATTTTCACATAAAACTAGACTACATTCTACCACCACCGCCTGCCTACTATAAACCCACGTAAATACCAGTACACAAACCAAACCATCTGATAATGTAAATAGTGACACACAAAACACACTCGGCCTTCGCACTTTTGCTCAGCAAATTGCAAAAACTCTCGATAATAATATTCACTATTAATAACGTTAAAATAATAATGACACCATACCAATGATTAAAGTGCGACATAAATTCAGTGCTACAAAACTACCTGTGGAAAAGGTGAGGGATTTGATAGTTACATGTGCTGCTGCTTATTTTGGGTATTCCATTTCATTGAATACTTATTATTGGGAGGATGTATGTATTAATGAACGAGTGACGAATGATTGATCATCTAGGACACTATTAGTAAAATGTGAGTATCAAATACTCGATCAAATCATTCTATTACTTGTGACTTGTTAATACAACTTGCCAATAATTGCAAGAATAATAATTTAATTGTACGACAGTTGAATTTATGCTATTGAATCCTTCAATTTAATTAATGTATAAACAGTGATCTAAAATTTCGATTTGTAATTTTGAATTTAAAAATTTATTTTTTTTAAATTTAAAGATTGAGTGCAATGGAAACTCATAAACCCGTCATATCTGATTGAAAATGCAATTTGGAGACAAGATAGTTCAAGTGCAGCTGAAAACGTGGGTTCTACAAAATCCCCAGAAACGATTGACGGAGGGAGCCGCATTTCAAGACTGACCGACCTTCCATTAATTAAAAAAAAGATAGATAGTGTTTCCTGAATGAAATGAAGTGCTACCAAAATATATCCAGTTTTATGCTTTATTCGTCTGTTGCTGAGCTGTAATAACCCGAATGAATACGTCCAGAAAAGAAGGTAAAAAAACGAAGCAGAAATAAAATATGATCAAGATAATTACCTCCCCTATATCGACTTAGGGCAATTCTAACTTTAATTCCGCTCGAATCATGAATGATCCTACTCATAAAAATATCTCTGTCTTATTTATTATTATTTAAGAACATAAGAAAAGTGTAACAAGGAAAAATTGTACTAATATAACGGGACAATCATAAAATAACAGCTATAATAACAGATAACTTCACAGCTTGGGACTATTAACAAAGTAAGAAAACGAAAGTCTATTTGTATTAAATATATACCAATATCAACAAACAAACCTATCTTCATATCCATGTAAGTATTGAGTGCTATTATTTCATACTTAAAAAGGATAAGACAAATGCTGAGAATACAAAATACAAAATAATAATTATATTTAAAAGAAGAGACCAGCTAGCGCAATTAGCTGTCTATTATCTATCTATTACACAATTTCTGCTGGAGCAATATACTTATATGTGCTAGCAGTTCCTCCATTGCAGAAAAGTGAAAAGATTATTCTGTGACTCTGTGAATTTATGGTACAAACAAAGTAACTCTGCTGTGGTTTTCTTCAACTTGTACAAGTCATTAGCTACAAAACGATCCAGCTAATCTTGACCAGAGTGAAAATAGAAATCAACCAGTTAAAACGCAAGATAAAACACATCATGCTGTTGCAAATGCAAGTGTTTGTTTACTCTTCTGGTTCTGGATAAGACCATTTGAACATGTACAACTGAAATTTAATGCACTAAGAATCGCTTCCTTCCATTTTGGACCACTAGTTTATGTACATGTTAAGAACGATAATGAGAGCTGTCTTGCACTCTGCTGAAGAATCTAATATCCGCCAATGAACTACCTTTCCCTTCCCACCATACCAGCGAGAGTACGTACGAGATGAAGATGTGAGAAGAATAAAGTAAAAGCCGTCATTTCTTCGTCTTCGGACTTCGATCCACCTCTCTCCTAGTTCTTTCTTGCCCACGTAAATAAATTGAGTAAGTGAAAGTAAGTAGAAAGGAAACTGAATCCGACCGAATCGCATTTACCATTTAGGAACTATTTTTTTTCGACTCCCGAAAGGAACCACTTTCTACTCAAGATTGCAGATATTTTTAGAAGAGATGTGGAATAAGTTGAGGAGAGACTTGAACTCACAATAAATCAAAATAGGAATACTCTCCACGCTGGACAACCCAACAACGTCAAGGACTATAATACATACCACTTCTGACATTCCTTCTTATTATTATTGGTAGCTGTATACAGCAAAAGCGGCAGCAGTACATTCAGGCAACTCGTTTCCGGTGCTCATTCATGATTAATCGTTGAAGAAAGTTTATTCTCGGTGGTTACTTTCTATGTACTTTTGTTTGGCTCTCTGTTACGAGCGAACAAGACAATCAATTTTCCTTCAAGTAGAACAATCTTCTACCAGTACGAGAAGATGAATTAAATTCAATACGCAACGTCTCTTCCTTCACTATTCATCCCTATCTGTGATAACTGGTGGCTTACTACCATTTCCTTAATATACTTAAACCCATGTACTAGTGCCCATGCAGCGTCGGGGTAATAATATTTGCCAGAGTACAATAAGGTGAGAAAATCTACTCACTGCTGAAGCTGCTGTAATTTTTGTACTATTATGGCTTCTGCTACACATTCATCGCTGCAAGTGGAACAGAACAATCCCCTCCATCGCCGTCCAATTGCCCTTTTGAAAGTGGCCTACGATTATGACTATGACTACAAAACGCGAAAAGTGTCAGTGAGGGCAGGGGAACTGCTACATTTACTTCAGAAAACTAATGAACACTGGTGAGACACGTTATTTTTTGAAAACACATGGCAAACCTTTAATTTCCTTTTTAGCACAGTATCTTTCTAAATCTTACATTACATTTGTAGGTGGAAAGTGATCAGACCAGGTGTCAATAACAAACCCTTCTTCGTACCGGCTCAATATGTCACTGAGGTGAGTCACCCAGCAGACCAAAGTCCAAAGGAAAATGGACAAAAATTGCCACTAACGAAATTTCACTCTTTGGATCATGGATCCCCAAATTTAACCCCGAAAAATGGTTCGAGTAATAAGGAACGAGAAAGCGTAACCAAGAGTAAAAGCAAAGAAAGTTCTTTTTTCTCATTCTCCAAGAGTGGTAAGAGCAGTAAGGTTACAAGAAATGAAGGGTCAAGAGCGAGTCATCGGGAAAAAAATTCCAAACAACAGCAACAGGCGTCCACAACCAGCTCAAAGAAGATCTCATCCACTTCGTCGTCAGGAGGAGGAGGGAAGCTGAAGAATTGGTCTGCAAGTTTGGAAGAATTGTCTAAACAAATCGTATTTCCAGGACTGGCCTCCGAATCTGTAGCGGATTTAACCTTTGCCACAAGAGCGATTCGGGACGAGAGGAAAGGAGGTCATCAGAGTTGTGAACCTTTTGGACCAAGAGACGTGGACTCCACTACTGCCATGGATGACATGATGCACTCTGTGTCATTCGGGAGAGAAAGGTCTTCCTTCAGTTCATTTCACTGTGATGACAATAGAAATCAAAACGTCCATTCCAACTCAATCAACAAGTGTCTAACGTTCCGCAACCCAACTTTTAACAAAAGTTCGGAAGGTTCTGCCGATTCCAAATGTAGTACTTCAGAGGAGAAACTGGAGACAGGAAGTTCAAGTCATGATATTTCAGGATCCCCAGGATCACTTTCACAGGAGGGACAGAGCCCTCGTGTAGTAAGTGGATGTCTTTTATATTCTCACTGATGTTGTTGCAACCAGCATTGGCATAATTCTCTGCTTATCGCCATTCTCCACACGAAATGTGCTCTCGTCGTTTTCACTCAAAGAACTATTTTGTGTGAAAGGGAAGAGAGACAGCGTGATTGAGATGACGGTGCTGCTTTGGCTTTGTGTTTATTCCAATTTACTTTTATTTCCTCCTACAACGACCATGCCCTACTTTTTATAGTACAACCAAAACCAACCAACTGTTATTTATTGACAGCGTTCTGTGTTGTACGAGAACGAACGTATCTCTAGGAGCATTTTAGTAAAGAGCTTCACTCCATCTGATCCTCTTTCTATATTTATTGGCTGTATATATTGGCTGACTAATTGAATATTTATAAACACGAACGACCATTCATCATGTACCACACAGATAGAGATGACACTTAATGATGCCTTAAAATTCATAGCAGAGACCTACATACATTCTTCTCTCGTATACTCTTTCCAGTTTGTCCAAGTATCCTTCACATCACAACCCATTTTGCTTGCCATGAGGAATCCTTCCCCTCGTTCACCTCCGCTTTCATGCAACATTATCAGATCAATTCCTGTGGTAAAATGTTAAAATATGGCGAATTCTTTATAGTAGAGTTAATGCATGAAGGAGTAGCGGGTGAAATTTTTATTTTTTGCCATCGTATGGTTGCATGGTCATATTTCAGGATCATATTTCCTTATATTTTTTCCACCTTCTTTCTGTTCAATTACTCTTGGCTTAATATCGATGAATTCAACAATTCGCAAATATCCTAAAACAATCCAATCACACCCTGCCATATATTTTTAGCCCATGCCTTACTTCATTCATTGCCATGTTTTTGGGGGATTGTCTTGGATTCTTTTTCGTGTTTCTTTCTACCTGACTTCACAATTAAATAGTAGATCAGTAGATGCATTGTTCAATACTTTTGATCTGCGTTCTGTGTGTTTTACTATTTCTGCTTGTTGTCCACATTTACTTGGATGCTTTCACAGATTCGCGAATACGCTATCTCTCTCGCTGATGCATTACAGTAGTTATATATCTAATATATATCAACTAATTGCAACTTGCCTCTAGCAATACGACGACTAAGTTTTTCGTTCAATTTACTATAGGTGAACAACATGGAATCTGATTATACGATTTCACATAGTGCCAGTGGAACAATCACAAAGGAACCAACGAGACTTCCAGCTACACCACCCATCAATTCCCCCGTCCGGAGATTTCTTGCTGACGACTGGGCAGAGTATCAAGAGGCAGATAGCAAACGATACTTTTACTACAACAGCAAAAGTAAAATTACAAGTTGGAAGCCGCCCCGAACTTCTTCGTCATCTTCAAATAAGAAATCTGATGAACACCTTGGCGGCGGTGGTTCATCATTAAGCGACGGATCTGCTAATGCGTCTTCCCTTGAGAAATCGTTGGAATCCTTGGAAAACATTGATCTACTTGGCAGCCCGAATCTCTCTTTGGAAGCAGAGCCGAGTGTGAGTGCTGTTGCTGACAGGGCTTCACATTCCTTTTCAGACAATAATGATACTACTGCATCCAACATACTCAATGAAAATTCTGGAGAAAGCAGGAGTCGCTCCTCTGAATCCATCACCATGAAAGAAGAGCAGGGACCTTCAGGGCCAGTCGCCGAGGTAGTGGCAGAGATCCCAATTCCTGAAGGTTGGGAACGTCAATGGGACACAGCATCGCAACAATTTTGCTACGTTAACAAAATAACAGGCGCTAGGGTGAGTTCTGATTAATTGAACTTAACAATCATCTCTATGATGTTCCTCAATGCCAATGCCTAATGAGCTTCTTTCTGGCTGGATTTACTTTTCTAAATCACTAGTCACTCCTTACTAAATATCTGCGCAACTCTGCAGGCATAATTTATTTATATTTGAATTTTAGCCTATAATATATTATTATGCTTAACACACTCATCCTCCGTGATTCACATACACCAATATATGGAAATATAATTGTATGATAAATTCAATGCTACTAATGAGGATACTTTCGATAAAATAAACCCAGCAGCACAACCACAAGTTTAAACTTGCGATTTGCGAATATGCCAAATGCAAGTATGGAGGAAGTAGGATTTCCTGTCAGGAATTTATTGTAGCTGTATAGTTACTTTTCTCTTTCTCAACGAAATATTTGCATTACGTACCACCAGCAGCAGATTATTAAATTGCTATATCCTATTTATTTGTTAGCCAGCTTAATTGTATAAAATATTGAAATATTTCATAACTTATTGCGTGTTGTTGGACAATATGGCCGGAATTAGCCGAAATAGACACCTAAATAGATCAACAATTGCGGTTGTTAGCACATCTGTGAGACGCTCCATGTCGGAATCTGATTTGTCGGCTCAACTCATTAAGTCTGTAGCTGATACGAATCAGGTTTGTCGTTTCCAGCAGAGAATCACTTATATCACATTACTGATCATATTATGCTTGTATCACTTGTGAAAGGAAAATCCCAGTAACAGTAAACAGCCCCTGCGTGCGCTTAATAATGAAACTAATATTACTTTTATATATTACTTTTCCTTTACTTGGCTTGCCGTCATAAAGCATCAACAATAATTTTGCAAAACAGCAGCAGTGTATCAATCGGCTCTAAGGAAGTTCCAATTGAAACACTTAATTCAAGACTCATGATGAATGATCATGATTAGTGTGATAATAAAATGCTAACCCATGCACACTAGGACTAACACTACTGATCTCAAATAAACCACGCCAAAATAAAACAAAACAAGTAGCCATTTATTTCATATGGCACACATCATGTGTAGAATGGACAGCAATGAGGGCAAACGTGTAGACAAAAAATCTCCAAATCTTCAGCATGTACAAATTTCCACTGAAACTTTTCAGCTTTTAGAAGCGATATTTAACGAATCGGGAGTTGATTTGAGATCAGAATTCAGCATTCAGTCCATGAATAATAACAGGTCCATAATTGAGTCGTCGTCAAACGAAGTGTGTTTTTATTTATTTATATACATGCTTATTTATATACGTGCGCAAAGAAAGATGGCGTCGAGAAATAATGTTATCACATGTTTAATTTGTTATTTTCAGTGGTTCAGCTCAACAGATTCAGACCAGAGAGTTTATTATTATGAAGGTAAGAGCAATGGCTTTAACAGATCCCATCGTTTTTACAAAATTTGGTGTATTATGAAGAGCACAGTTCCAATTCTTCCTGGTTTCTACCTGTTCCTGACGTAAATACAACTCATAACCTAAACCAAGTAAGAAGGAATTGTATAAGTACAACAATTTCGTATTGCAGATATACGTGATGTACATAAATGAATACAAAATAAATAAAATTTCATTCTCCTATTTTCAGAGTCCCAACACCAAAGAAGGCAATACTAGTGTAAGTAGTGAGACTGCTTCATTACAAGAAAAAAGTCTGGATTCATCAAAGCCAGTAGTCGGCCTTGTAAAGAAGCACCGTCACTCTGCAGGGGAAGTGGTGGATAGAAATTTAAAAACTAAATCGCTTTTGATTTCCTCATCTGATCTCAGGTAAACCCATTGTTTACTTTTCAAAACAATTTAAAAATATTGAATTTTAATTTATTTAAAATTTAATACAAATTTAGAAAACATGAATTCGACAAGTCGGGGAGTTTGCCTAGGTCATTACGAACAATTTGGGCGAATGGGATGCTTGATGTCATTCGAGAAGGTCCAATCGCAAGGTCAAAGATAACAGAAAATGGCAAAAAACTTCGAAAAAGTTGGAGTGTTATATATTGCGTATTAACGGAGTCTCACTTGAGCCTGTTTAAAGATCAAAAATCCTTTCTGGTAAATTACTGATCGATAATTTATTACATCTATCATCCATTTATATACATGAGTTACAATAGATACTTGTTATTGGGTTTCTTTAGATGCTGACAAAGACTGAGGTGGAAATTGAGCTGAATGGAGCAACGGTAGAATGGACAGATGAAAGGTCGAGTCGAAAAAATGTCTTCCAATTGAGTACCTTATCTGACTTGCAAATGCTTTTCCAATTGGACGATAAGAGCTTGGCGCAAGAATGGTTTGAAAGCATCCGATATGTTACGGAAAAGAATGACTCGGTGAGTCGAAATGAATACTGGCAGAGTTAATGGATTTACTAGAGTGGAATAATTTCCTTTTTCCCAAAATTCAGACGTTGGACATTTCTATGCGGTTGAGAAGTAATCCAGAAAGTCCAGATAACTTGTTAGATCCACCCGTGGGGGAGCGCAAAATTTCTTCCAGACTGAATCGTAACAAGTCTACCAAATGTAAGGAACCACCACCATCCAGTTACTAATGATTGTGCATGTATGTTATTGTGCATTTAAAAATTTTGGTTTGTCATGTATTTCGTAGTGCGTATAACCACAGTGGAAGACAAGGATAAGATTAAAATTAAAGAAAGTTTGCGAAGGTTTTTTAGGTAAGCGTTTATTTATATAACAACTAGCACTAAATCTCAACTGGTCGATGCAGCGTATACATGTTAGAAGGAAAAATATATGTGCAGATACTAGATTTTATTCCTAACTATGTAATTATCCATTTATTTGCACCAATCAATACTCTCAAAACATAATCAAACAGACAAGTATTAATATTATATTTAAAAATGTTGATTACAATTTTTAACCCAAACGAACTTGGTTTGTGACCACAGTCAATTTGGGCATGTGTCGTCGCTTTTCTCGACGACAAAAAACGTGTATTAGGTGTGAGATGAGATCTAATAATGCAACTATCTAGGATCAAGAATATTAGCCTTCTACGACCAAATTTCAAAAGTCCGTGTGGGTCACTATTTAAAGTCCTGTATCGACTAGTTGAGATTGGCGACCAATATGCCGTGTCAGCCAATATGTTATCGACCAATCACGTGTCGATGGGCTGGTAGTTGGTCACTCGCCTCTTTCATTTTTCATTGAAATTGAAGTTAATGACGATTGCTTAATTCATTTTTGGCAGTCGAAGACCTCCTCGCGAATCTTTGGTGAAGAAAGGAATTTACAAAGGTAGATGATTAGATATCAAGTCAAATTCGATTGTGTGGTCACAAAATTTTAATCCCGACACTTTGAATCTGTTTCAGATGAGTCAGTATTCGGTTGCTCTTTAGAAAAATTGTGCACTCTGGAAAAGGAAGATGTTCCGCGATTTGTTCAAGAGTGTATAGTTGCAATCGAAAGCAGACCTGAAAACCTGAAGACAGACGGCATATATCGGGCATCGGGAAATTTGAGCCAGGTGCAAAAGATCAGATTACAGGTGAGGGCTTAAGTAATATTGTCAAGTATTATTAAATTATGAATTATTTATATATACACGTTCATGACAAAATAGTTAAACATTCCCATCAATCGAAATGCTTGCGAAAATTGATTTCAATTATTATTTATGATTAATAGGTTGATCAGAACAATTTAGCTTGTTTATTTCAAGAAGAAGATGTGCACGTACTAGCAGGTAAGTTATCAATTTTTACCTGATTGCGTTGCCCCGTGGCCGTAGCAGTGTCCTATCCTGTGTATTTATTTAATCCAGCGTGTCTGATTTTCAGGTTGCCTTAAGCTATTTTTCCGTGAACTAAAAGAGCCACTCATCCCATCTGAATTATTTGAGAAAGCTCTTCAAGCGTGCCGTAAGTCCTACAACTTGTGGAACCATGAAAATTGACTGCACTATATTTATTTCTAATTTTTGTTCTTAGATGCCTCTAACAGAAAAGAGAAACTAAATCGTCTCGGTGAAATTGTTAACTGTTTGATACGACCTAATAAATGCACACTTCAAGCATTGCTGAGACATCTTCTTAAAGTCGCAGCATACAGTGAATTTAACCGAATGCAAATCCCAAATCTAGCCATTGTATTTGGTCCAACCCTCATGTACGCCGCAGAAACACAAAATATGGCGACGGATCTAATGTAAGTTTAATATATTTATTTCTCTTCTATTGGTGGAATTTTACATCGCTAATTTGTGGCTGCTTTACTTACAGGCAGCAAAATTTGGTGATTGAAGCATTATTGCTGGAATACGAGTCCATTTTTCAGTGATAATATAATCTGCAATTCTCAACAATTCTTAGGAATCATGGTTTCCCTTCCTCTTATTCTTTCCTGTATTATTTGCATTAGTTAAAAAATTGTTTGCCATTCACAGATCGATCACGCGATATAACTGTAATTTATACGATAAACACACAAAGTAATAATGATAAATCAAACTATCCGTAGCTGGAAATATATAAAAATCGGAAATTGAAATAAGCATATCGAAATGCGAACTTTATTGTTGCATAGTCTTCATCTACAACAAAACTGCACAGTATAATTGATTATTTTCGGCTTTCACTTAATTAGTATAGACTAGTTACCAGTTAACATTTTTCAATAAATAAGCTGTACAATCTCGGATTATATTCATAAAAATGATTGAAATCCAACCACTTTAATCTTGGGATTGCGCGATCCAAACAACGGCGGATTTCAATGAAGAAAATTTAACTTTTTTCAAGAAGCTTCTCATAATTTTAAATTCTAATATTTCATTTGTCTGAGACAAGGCTTTCGCAGTCAAGCAAACCAACCACTGAAGAATCTAAAACAAAAAAAATCGTAACCCCATGTATTATAACATAACATTGCCAGAATAGATTATTCTTGATCGGATAAAAGGAAAGAATTTGAAGAATTACATCGTCATCATTGGGGCATCGACCACCACTTCTCACCATCCAGTCAGAGGGTGCCCACAATAGCAAAATGCAAATGTTGAAAGCTTTTTCTGCCGAAATCCTCTGAAAAATTTCAATTTATTCGTGATTATAAAGTTATGTAGCAGAATTGGAGGATGTATATAAGTATATATAAACATATATAACTTGTACGCATACTTGATCTGGATTTCGTTTCAACAAGCCTTTAATCAATTTCTGCACAATTGGATTTGCATGATTAACAGTAGGCAAGTCGTTATCAGTGTACGTTCTACCATCAAGGTGGTTTTCTCCATAAAACGGATTTGGGTTGCCAAATATTTCATATGCAATCGCACCACATGTCCATGCATCCGAATTTTTGTAGTTCAAATATTTCCACGCACCGGGTACAGCAGTCTTTAAATAAATAAATCTTGTGAAGAAGGGCACCAATAAAGCTTTGTCTAAATAATTTCTGAAACACTAAAAGCTCACCGAAATTTCTGGAGCGGTTAAAGCTGCATTTCCACCTCTATCGATATACTCTGTTCTGAATGGCAGTGAAAGTCCATTAGACTTATCAGCCAAGCAACAACCAAAGTCTGAAATGACGATTTCTGGGAACATATATCCTTGGGACACATCTACTAGGATATTATCGGTCTTTAAGTCACGGTGGGCAATTTCAGCGTGGACCAAATGACTAACTCCGCTTAAAATCTGAGTAAAGATCAACATTCTTGTGCGATGTGTCAGATCCGTATTTTTTAAGTAATCTTGTAGATTGGTGTCGTATCTGTAGTAAAATTGTTACAATATTATACTTGGTTTAATCAGTACATTATACGATAAATATAATATATTATAGTACCTTTTCATAACCAAAAACAAGCTCATGTTTCGTCCTGTGAGAGATTTAGTATTAGGGCGATTTGGTTCTTTTTTGTTATTGGTTTATTTAATTTCGGGGTACTTTACCAAATCCGGCGTCTGGATTTAGTCTTTGGGGTAAGGCATTTGGATACCTCTGCAAACCCTCCAACAATGGAATTTTATCCACAAAAGCATGGTGTATATCAATGATATTTTGATGGGGAGGGCATCGCTTCACATTTTCGAAAAGACTGCAGCATTTTATATAAATATTAAACATTCAAAAATCATTTAGATATAGTGCGAAATAATGACCATGACATACCTTTTGTCTAATTCAGCAAGGTTTTTCAAGTCGACTTGACGAGCAGGTACAATCTCTTTTACCATTCCTTTCAAAATTGAAAAAGCATTGGACTCAATGTCGTAGTTAAACATCATTTTAACCGCAAGAACCCATTCAGCTTCAGTCGAATCTTTGTAATTTGCAGCGTATACCTTTATATAATAAAAATCATATAATCATTCATATAATCATTTGGAAAATCTTGAGTAAAAATACATGTTCAGCACAATTAATTATCAAGGGAACGTGAAAATTGGAACACAGACGTAGAAATGTCCATACTGGACAAACTTTCAAAAAATGAGGTGAGATAGAGATTGTGCAAAGACATTGTTTTCAAGTAAAGATTTTCAAAAATTCTCACCGCAGCATTGCATCCTTGATTTAAAATTGGTCCTATATAATTATTCATTATCTCATATTTAAGGTTGTAATTGGGAGCAGTAATTTTAGTTCAGAATCCCAAGTAGGTTATTTACCAAATTTCAAATCGGATACAGATGTTATTGGTTCAAATTCAATCGATGATGATGAGGAGTACATATTGCTTTCCTTTGTTTGCCTTGAAATTGATTCCTACACATATAAGACAGCTTAGTAAGTAATATTGTTCTGCATAAATCGCCAGACAAAATCGCTACCCTTATTTCCCAACAAATCCCATCAAACTCGCTGTCCTGAGAAACCACTCCGACGGACCCAGTCGCCAATGACACTCCAACAAGGGCGAAAAATGGGCGAGAATCCCCATACAACAGACGTTGTGCCGCCTTTCTGGCAACCTCCTTAATGCGAAATATGTTTTATAATTAGTCAATGATTTGTTCCGGACAGTATTTACAGGGGTGGGACAGAAGAAGGAGCCCCTTGAATTTGAGGGGTGGCGTGTGATGCACAGTCGCGGCATTTTCAAAATTTGCATATGTCATACCCAGATAGTTAACGAAAATTTAGCACTATTCAGATTTTCCCTACGGTTAAAAATGCCCCTGCAGCACCCCCCAGAGTGCGAGGCACGCATAAAAGTGTTTTCCAAAGACATACTGAGCCAGAGAGCGATTGTTAGAAAATTTGCTGCAAATGGATTTATCGTCGATCGAAAGTACGTTTCTAATGTACTTAAAAACGTTGGAATCAAGCGGAGGGAAAAAGCGGTTAGAGCTCCACCCCCACGGAAAGGATACCCAAGATCCGCTTGAACCAAAAAGTTTATCCGGAAAATCAATTTTTCGCCAAAACGGTAAATCCACCAACTAAAAGTTGCATGGCGAAAATGTTAAACGTTAGTAGGAGAACATTTCTAGAGTCATTCACAATGACCTACAGCAAGTGACTCGTAGGAAATCCCGAGATCATGCTCTCATCCCAACTTATTTCTCACAAAATATCAGCCTACACGAAGGATTTTAAAAAAAGTTTGGGTATAACAATTATTCCTACTATAGAAACTCTCGTTAGTTCCTCTGATATCAATCCGATGTTTTTTTTTTTTGGATTCGAGTACTTAAAACAGAGCCTTCTTGAAAGGAAAACGCGTGCGTTTTGATGCACTTTGGAAAAGTGTTCAGGACGAGTGGTGCAGAATCACTCTGAAAATTGTGTCAAAGGTTATGACTGGTTGGAAAAAGCGACTGAGGCTCGTTAGATAAACTAAAGGGCTTCACACTGAACCAATTACCAAACTTCACAAACGAATAATAAGGCCGGAATAAATTTAGGCAAAGTGGCTCCTTCTTCTGTCCCACCCCTCTGTAATACTGCATGCACTCGTATAAATAAGTATATATTTTAGGACCAACCTGGTTCGTTGTAGCCCTTCGGAGGACATTATTGATGAATATTTGTCTCACTTGGGTATGAATTTGTTGTCCTATTCGTGACAACGTCGAGGATGAGAAGGAGCTCCCCCCACTGTCAGTTGACGATCGTCCTGCTGCTCCTCCAAGTTCGGATGACGCTCGAGGGCCAGCAGTGCCCACATTTCCTCCGCCAACTATAATATTGCAACCCTTCTTTCCCTCGGTCCTTAGAAGAACACCAGACTGGTTTTCCGGCGAAACTTCGACCTTTCTCCGACCCAGTAAAATTTGATGATTTCGGAGTATGTAACGACTGTAGCAAATTAGACGGCGTAGAAAGGACATTTCTTGAGTTTGCTGATGAGTGGCGAATGTTATAAGCCGTAACATTGCCTTGTTGTTTTTCACGTCCTGGAAAGACCTCAAGTAGTTACCAGTAGTTGATGAGGAGGAGGAGAATAGATCATGTCATCACTGATGACTCATCAGTCATCAATGAACTATCTTTGTTCCGAGGTTGTGACTTGTGGGAATAGAGAATTTCTATAAAACATATATATACTTTAGAATTGACCCTCACACAATGTATAGATTTTGATTTGTTTAGTTTTTGTAGAGGATTCAACTTACTTTGCAGCCTACTCGTCAAGATTAGGGTACACTAAGTTCGTTTAATCTGACCCAAAAATCAGAGAAATTCAAGAAAAACAAAACAACAATAACCTTCAATAACATTCAGATTTCATCAGATTGAACACACCGCTGCGCAACAACGGAGTACTAATGCATGGAATAGGAGAGCGGAGAGTGAGAGTCCGAATATTTACGTATTAGTTAGAATGCATGACTCATGTCCTATAATACTTTGACATGGGTTATCATGATTTTTTGACCATATTTTGGAAACACCTTTATTTTTATGTACATATTCATTTGATGAATATTGGGTTTCATGCATTCATACATATATCAATAATTGTTCCTAATTTACAGATTAGAACATTTGGAAAAAGTACAGGCAAAGTTATCCTTTATCAAGAATTTACTTATTGTATCAGGAAATAACTTATGGATAATAAGGATATAAAATAGACAACAAAATAGGACATCATGGCGTTAATAATGACTAGCATACGTTTGTGCGAATGAGATTGGAGTTTGTTTGAGACAGTGAGATCGAGGTTGTCTAATTAATTAAAAACCATGAGCGCCTTTTAAAGGAAGATTGTTATCCGTCGAATGCTTATTAATTAGTTCAATAAAGGGATGAGTTATTTGAGAGGAAAATCAGGCCAGTAATTTATATGATAACGATGAGTTGATCCCTCGAAAAGCCTATCCAACCAGTTCTGAAAAATTTAAAATACCATAAAAATAGCATATTACATTTTTTGGACAACAAAAGTAATCCTTTTCCCTTACGGATAAATTGTCCAGCAAATGGTTTGTAAAAAGAATTCCAGCTTCCGGTGTATCGCTGGTATCCTGTTATTAATTATACAAATATACCAATCATTTCATCAACGCACAATGTGCTAGAAGTATTTACTATGTATTCAATATATAATGCGGTAAATACATTATTCAATCCGCCTCCCCGTTCCACATCCGATTGTTCATCACTGCTGTTTTCAGAATCAAATCCGAGAAACGCACCATTACGATAGCCAGAATTTGCTCTTCTCTGTTGAGTATAATAAAAAAGAATCGTAAATATATGCCTGTACTCTAGCGTACTCTAGCTAGAATATTAAAATTTAGACGGAATGAATATGTAAATGAAGATGACTTTACTCTATTTGGATTTCCTGGCATTGTGACACTGGCATGAAACACACAAAAGTACTTGCGATGACCATTAAGGGAAATAACGGTCCCAACACAGTTTCTGGGATTAATGTTGAGAGTTGATGAGTACGTCTCATGTCTCACTAAAGTTGAATGGAATTGACTCATGTAAGTAGTGTAATTATTTAGTAATATGATTATTACTCACCAAGTGATAACTGAAGTAATTGTTTGTACCATGACAAACCAGCTGGTCGATCAACATGCATAAAGCCAAACTGCAATGACTTGTTCCTGAAAAATTAGAACAACCATATTAATGTATATTATGACTAAGACTAAATAAACAAATCATGCAATGCATCCACCAATTTCATACAACATACTTTCGGTATGGCCAAACGCATCGTTGAAATTTTCTTATCAGTATTTCTTTTGTATCCGCATCCAATAAGAGCAATACAGTTCTGCAGCCAGGCTTAATAAGTCTGACGAGACCATTATAAGTTTCCCCACGCATTTCGTGAATTCTGCATTCAGGGTTTTGTGTTAATAACTGCAAAGGCGTCGGATTTTCAGTAGTTGTTGATGATGCTGGGCGGGAGTTTGACGATGGAGGTGATCTTTGAGCATCTGCCTTGGCTTTTGCTAAAATACTTTCTTCCTCAAGTCGTCTATAATATATTGGCACAATATTTAACTATGCATCATATTAAACACTTATAACAATATGCTATTTAAAAATCTGAGCAAGTACGCTTACACTAGGTATGCCATTATAAAGCCACCTGCAACTATGAACAGAACTGTGGCAATAACTGAGGCAGTCTGGATAACCATTTCTCTTGTCACTTGTGCTCGAACAAATTCCATCGTCAGTGATACCTTCCTTAGCACTTTGAATAAAAACCCTTGTGCATGTTCGTCTGTTAATTCCTAAATGAAAGTAAAATAACAATTAAAATCATCAGTCGTAATGCATATGAGAGTTGGAGTAATACTGGAGGAATCGTACTAAATATTTACCTTCACTTCCACTTGGTATGACAGGGATGTTTTTTCTGTTATTAGCCTGTGAAGAATACTGTCTAGGCGTTGAGCTGATGTATTTGTTCCGTCCCACCCACCTTCGATCCATTCGTACGATATTTTGCTGGAGGTCTGCCTCCAAATTATCATCAAGTTTGAGTCTTTTTTGCTTCCTATAAAAATTAAGTCTCATACGTGAGTATAACTAATATCCATCATGTAAATAGGTAGAAAATATACGATCCTTTAATTTCATTACCTGAGAGTGAGCTAACGAAATCCCGCTGGACCTGATGAAGCGGGCGAAATATATTATAATAATAAGTTATTATTTAACTAAACAATTATTAATGTTATTATTACTAACATTAATAATTGTCCCCTGGCGTAAACTTACCTCTCCATACAAATATGCGAACTTGACTCGGACGGAGGAACCTTGACGCAAAGCGTATTCTCGAAGAGCTTTGGCGCTGTCTTCGTCCTCTAATATTTTCGTTTTTCGAGTTAAGAATACTACACACAAGCGGCGGCGATAAAGCGATGTTTCAGTAGGACAGATAGTATCCATTACAGTCTACAAATAATATCCATCCAATTGTTAAAAATTTCAGTCATCCTCGGCAATAAAGATTGATTACCTGAGATGAAAGTCGTGGAAGTATCAAAAACTTGTTGTTTTCAACAAGGTCGCTCATTAATTTTTGTGAGATTTCGGTCATACTTAGAGAAGCAACGGGTTTCTCAAGTTCTTGGAACAAACAAAAATATTAGACGTGTATTATTAAATTATTCAATAAATCATTCAGCTGTCTTAGTTTTGTACCTTTGAACACAAAGATACTATCCATTCCGTCCGGGATTCCATAATTTTGCCGGAAGACGTTGAAATCTTTGTCTTCGGTTGTCACATATCTACAATAAAATCATTGATTTATTCTCACCAATCTATGTCAACACTAGTTATCTAGTATATCTTATTAACATAAATTACCCAAATGCAGCTCGTTCACGAAAATGGAAAGCTAAAACTTGATACCGAAGTCGAACAACCTCAGAAGTTCCAACAATAATGACACGAATTCTGTTGTACACATTAGATATTGAATTTTGCTACCAGGAATTTCAAAACCAAATCTAACCTATTATCTCTCCACCAATTTCCAAGAAAATCCTCCACAGTTTCTTTATCCAAAGGGACCAACAAGTCAAATGGTAGTTTGGACCTTATAAATGCTACAAAATACAAAATCATCATCAAGTATATTTTAATTAAGACCCCAAAAAAGGTGTCACTTATTACTTACTTACCTGTCACTTTATTGGCAGCAACAACAGTGTCCCGATAATGATAGGCATGCGAATCCAACACTAATACAACTGATGGAATTACTTTAATACCAATTTTTCGAGCAACAGCGGTTTCTCGATCTGCATGCACACAGGATACGTCAATCTGAAGATATGGTAACATTATGACCGTATAGTTATTTTGCAACTTCATGGTAATAATTAATAATAAAAATAAAGCAGAGGGTACAAATCTCACCCCAATATTTGTTAGCTGATCAGAAATTGTTCTCCAAATAGAAGCGACGCGTGTACATCCACTGCACCAGTCACCACTAGTTTTGAAAATTATAACGTTTCTAAATTATTTTCAATCATACGAAGATGATGAATGGGTAGTTAATATTTTAAACCATTGACTTACTAGAAGAGAATAAGTTGTGGAACGGTGAAGGATTTTGGCATTACATTCTGTTCAAAAGTTCTAACATAAAAACAACGTTAAATTAACAGATTTAAATATTGTAAATGTATCAATTTACAATAAAACCCTCAACTAATCTTATGTTCTTACTTTGCCGTAATGCTTTGTTTATGCAAAAATGCAATCCCATCAGCGAATGGATAGTGAAAAGCTCCGCCGGTAGTGAATGTAAGAATTTCATCAATAGGGTCAAATCTATTGAATGTGGTGTAATCCGGCCTGGGATTGAAGTTGGGAGAATCCTCCGTCACGCCCCTCTGATCATACAAACGACGCCGAGCTGGGTCACTCAGTAGCTAATGAAACCATATAAATAGTAAACCCCATATTTTATTAAATATCCATAAAAGTGCAGAAACTGACCTCATAAGCCCTATTTATTTTTACAAACTGTTCCTCTGCTTCAGGAACCTTGTTCTTATCAGGGTGCCACACCTAGGTTAAGTAATAAATTATTTACAACACATTTGCATGCACAACACTGTGCGAACTTACCACAGCCAAATTTTTGTACGCCTTTCGAATCTCCTTGGTAGTGGCTGACTTTCCAACCCCCAGAATTTCGTAGGGGTCTCCCAACACGGAAGAAGAAGTTGTCGTCGTTACTGCCCCCACTGCCGTCCTGCTTACGAGGTGCAAACATGCGACGACCAGGGTGAGCAACATCCAGCAGTTTCGACAATCCACGACACCACCTCGCACCCACCATCTGATCGGGAACATGGCCATGTGGAGCCTTATTTGCATCCGCCGTCCAAACCGACCAAGTCCATAATCCCAAATTTGTCCCTGGATCGAAGAACTAATTTGTTTTCGCCTGCTGGAGAAGGACCCGTCAGCTGTGCTCAGTTTGTAGCGAAGTAGAAATGGGACGAGCCCAGCCCATTGAGAGGATTGAGCAGTGCGGAAAATGGTTTTGGGCCTGGCGGGTAGGCTTTCACTTTCTCGGAGGAGTGGACATCCGGCTCACTCTCTCCGCTGCCATGGCCACACGTTGAGATTTCCAGAGGCGGATTGAGACTTCTGCTTGATTCCCATCACAAAACAGTGTCAACTTGCCTCCTCGCTCATGCCACTCTGCTTCTTTCATCAAGTAATTCCCTATATCAAGTATTATCAAGATTCATATCGACTCTTCCGAACTTTACATAGTTTACAAGGAACTGTAAATGTTTTTCTACATAATTGGAACTACAGATATCAATATGTTTAATAAAATTTATTATATTTAAAACTCTACCATGCATTTAAAATGATGATGATAATTGATAATATAGTTTATGAGTCGTAAATTTTTGAAATATAAAATAATTCCTCCAGTCCTCATTGACTGAGGACAGCTCTCATGCCTGATGTCGCATTCCCACGTTGAATGGGAAGCCGATCCTTTGAATAAGAGATGTGGTTGACAATGTCAACTACTTGACACTGACATAGGACTAGGACTAGTGATGGATGCCTTTCATCATCCTCCCAAAATCCTTGATGAAATTTAGTCCCAATTTAGAAATAATAAATAGAAAATATCCATAGATCTAGGCATTCTTTTCTTTTAACTTTTCATGAATTTCAACAAAAGAGAGCGTAAACTAATGTAATTAACTAATAGTTATACGCCGCATTAAGTAACGTAATTTACATTAAGGTTTTTCCAAGAATGAGTGTGCTGCTGTGTTTGTGATTAGGCAACAAAAGTTCGACACTACGTGATGTATATCTTGTGCAAGAGAGAGAAAGTATGGCTTCTTTCGGGGCAGAGTGGTTTGTATTAATCAACAACCCTTTCATCTCACTCTCTCCCCGACCGAATATCATTCTTAAATATAGAGACCATTCTTCCAACTTTGTGTATTTGCAGCTCATTTACCAACTTGTATTTTATTGAAGAGCTATCGGTAGAAAAATGGCTCAGCATTATATACATATTCGTAAACATATGCATTTATATTTATTTGGTCGGTTGGTCCCTATTCTACATGATGATAAGATGACATACAATGCTTATTCCAGGATAATTGGAATTTGTTTTTTTGTATAGCGAGTTATAAGCCCTGGTTTAGGCTAAAAATGAAATCCTGACTTTCACCTCTTCATGACTAATAGTGGCATTTGTATTACCTCGTGATGAAAGTTTTGTTTGATGGTAATAATATATAGCGCTTGCGTGGGTTTATTGTTGGTAAAGTATGTCTATTTTATTAAGACAGGTAACAGGAAAATTCGAGGGTGACATGGTAAAAGTAGAAATGTGCGAGATAAATATGGGGAGAGTTCATATTCATATAGTCCGTTTTTTTCGCCCGAGATTGGAGCATCACCACTGCAATGTCTCAACGCTACACGATAAACGGCATTCTGAAGAACGATCGTCTGCATTTCGTTTCCGAAGACCCCGCCGCCATGGGGTCTGACCCAGCACTACCTCCACACCCAATTTTCAACTGCTTCACCCCCACTACGACCAACAACAGCAGTTTGAATATGTTTTGCTGCTCGACACCCACGCCACCCCCGCGACGAAGCTCGACTGAGGCGTCTATCCTATCACAACTTGGTCCCATCTCAATGGGAAACCTGCTCGAACAGAGGCATCATCGTAAGTTAATTACAAACTATTAATTTAATCATCCTCGATTCAATTATGTGAATTTGTTGAAATACGATTGAGCTAACCCTATAAGTCAACCCCAGAAAAGGCTGAGTAATCGTATTATGTTCCGACTGCATTGTCAAGTTATTGAATGATCATTTGTGATTGTGCCATACATACATGTGCAAGTATATCAAAATAATATCATTCATTTGAAGACGACGTTTATCTCAATGTATAGCTCCAACAATTTTAAAGGCTTTTAAAAGTTTGACTAGTTATTCATGGGAATACGTCAAATTAATCTCCCAAATTAATATTTTTAATTGTCTACAATCCGCATTATGACGATCGTTGCATAGAGTTATATAGTAATATATCTGGTTCAATATAGTTCAAGAGATAATTGCCTATTCTTCCACCCATCTTGTGTACCATAACTTGAGGTAAAATGTAAAATCCATAAATAAAACCTACAGTCAACAGTGCATACTTCATTTATCCGAGTCAGGGCTTGTGGAACCGGCAGCGTTCGGGCATCAAAAATCGAAAGATTTTGAAAAACTGGGTTTCAATTTTTCTGATTTTAACCGGTTTTAGTGCGAATTTTAGAAATGTTTGCAAATATAGCACGCTAAACAAAATGAAAATTAAATATAAACTTGGGAATAAGGCATTTCAGAACGATTAATTCTGATCCTAACAATAAGAAATATTAAATATTAGATCCGAAATAGTTTGCGTTACTAAAAATCGAATACCGTATTTCGAGTGTGTAAAACCGATTTTTTACAAACCGGTTTTTAAGATAAATTATTTTTTTACAAAACTGTTTTTTAATATAAATGGTTTATAAACCAATTTCCTAGTTATGTTTGTGTGCATTTGCGGCACGCTAGCGGACAAACCACTGAACCCAGAATTGGTTTGACACCAGAATTGGTGTCAAATCTAGGATGAGTCCTGGATGAGTTTGAAGAAGACCTACATAGATCGGTCAAGTGGTTGTTCAATAAAGGTCATTTAGGTGAATGGGGGATTGTGCCCCACCCACCTAAAATTTCAAAATAATGCTAGAAAGCTAAATACCCCAGTCACCTATTCTAATCTCTACGGGTCAGCCACTGGACTTATCTAATATGCATATAAGTAAACACAATTTGAACTCCGTTTCGACTCTATCGTGTTCCGGACAGGCATAGTGGTCCTATAAGCCCTGATTCGGGGTAAAAAGTATAATGGATTTTGAAATCCCACAAGTGAATTGAATGACAGAATGAGTATTCGAGTTGGTAGGTATATTTATGCATGATATACCATCAAATAATAACCTCGACCCCAAGGTTTTCCTTCACAATAGGCGATGTTATGAGTTATCCGAGTTACGCGTATGCCAGAACAAATTTTGCAATCACAATTTATATGAAATCATACAACTAAGGAAAGTTTGCACTATGCTACTCGATAGAAAAATCGTCCATCTATATATTTATTTACATATGAACGACACAAATAGGATGTAGGACGTGACCATAACTGTAACATAGCCATTAGGAGAAAGTATTCAATATTTAAGGATGATTCCTCAATATTCGTTAAAAACACGTAATTTCACGTAAAACACGTAATTTTATATCCCTCACTCCTTCCGGCATGATTTCACTATTGATATAAAATGAATACAATGCACAAAATGATGCTTTGTCTATGCATTGGGTCATCAGGGGGGGACTCGGATGTGGATAATTACAACAGGATATCCTCCTCATCCAACGTGGCCCTAATGGAGGCCCTTGTGTCGACACGAGGGTGCAGTGGTAGCAGTCCATCCACGTCCATTCCATCAGTCTACACCCCCTCCGCCGAGCGCCACAATATGACCACCAACTCTGGAAAGCGAAAACAACGACGATACAGGTAATAAATACGTATAGGCTGGACTGGAAGTACTGCTTTGCCCCACTTTGTAAGAAGAAACCATATGACCATGACTTCACTAAGGAGGGGAGGTTGTGTACTATCAACTCCCGGATATCGATGCCCTTTGGATACGTTGTAGTGTCCCATGAATGAACAAGAACCCTGAAGTGGTTTAATGCCATAGCCACATTTGCGCCCGCCACACCCACTCAAAGGTGCCCTAAAATCGCTTTCACTCCAGCTTTCACTCTTTCAAATCCATGCCAAAAATCCAATTTTACTCTTATTTTGAAATTTCTTTCACCATTATACTCCGAGATAGTTGTGTTCTTATATCCAACATCAAACTCAACTTGTTTGATGCTTATTTCGCAGGAATAATTTGCGTTGTTGATTACACAAACAATGCTCATTGAGAATTTTAAATTTTAAAAATATAAAAAAATTCAAAAAGTTGAGTTTGATGTTCAATATAAGAGAACAACTCTCTGGGAGTATAATGATGAAAGAAATATTTCAAAATCGGAGTAAAATTGGATTTTTGGCGTGATTTTGAATGAGTGAAAGCTAGAGTGAAAGCGATTTTTGGGCACCTTTGAGTGGTTGTGGCTGGCGCAAATGTGGCCATGGCATTAAACCACTTCAGGGTTCTTGTTCATTCATGGGACACTACAACATATCCAAAGGGCATCGAGATCCGGGAGTTGATAGTACACAACCTCCTAAGGATGGCTCTCCATACCCTAATTTGGGGTGATATTGCCACAATGCTTCACTGACTAAGAGGTCTTTAATTAAACCTCCACATGCTAAAATGCTATTATTACGACGGATTGATTTGCAGAACAACTTTCACCAGCTACCAGTTGGAAGAGCTCGAGAGATCATTTTTGCGATCGCATTATCCTGATGTGTGAGACTAGATTTACAAAGCAGAGCTGTTTTTCGATGCATAAACTGGCTGCGATGCTATTGTTAACAGGTTTTCAAGGGAAGAACTCGCAATGAAAATTAACCTGACCGAAGCCAGAGTGCAGGTGAGGTGTGGGCAAGTAGTTCGTTGCTAAAAAGATGCACAAATTATTATAGCTTCACTAGCAATAAGTACTTGCACACTAAAATACTTCTTAATTATGATACATGTCTTGCCTGCCTGGTTTGGTTTCAGGTTTGGTTTCAGGTTGGTTTTATGTATGGCAAATAATGGAAATGCGTTTAACATGTTTTATCTTTATCTTGTGTTTAATAAATACCAATTTTTATGTTTATTTCAGAATCGAAGGTACCTCTTGAACGTACCCATTTTAAATGATGGCCAAATAATAGCAAATGGTTTGAAAGTTAATGTGTCAAAAATATTTACAGGGCCAAATTTCGAAAAGTAGAGAAAGTGAGGCCTGCTTCACCGGCACCTTCTCTCTTGAGTAACACTTCTGTCCCCGTTGTACAAGGTAATAGATCCATCCGTCTAATTTCACTTTAAAATCAGTAAAATTCACCTAATTAATCTGTTGACTCAATTTTTTCAGATATCCTTCCAGCTGCCCCCCATTCAGCGGACAGCCTCTTATTTCAACACGGGATGCACAATAATTGCTCCACAGCCACCGACAGCAGTCGGCTAATGAATTCATACTTAAGTTTTGAAGCGTGGCCATTTTTGTCTGCATCAGTCGCAAATGCAATGTCATCAAATCTGACCCCTTTCACCCTAAGTCCACCCACAAACTTTTTATGTCATAATAATACAGATAACCCTCATCCACATTCATCCTTCCACCCGATTCATCACGGCATTGATTCCTCCTCTGTTGAAGAGCTTTCCCCACCTTTCAACAACTGTAATCTTTCCATGGGCGACAAGCAAGAACTCGACAATGCGAATGACACTAATTCTACTACCACTAGCTTGCTCTAGCTTAAGCTAAACGCTTCCTCTACAATTTAAATATATTCCATTTAATTTTATATATTTATTTGTTATTTGATAAGATAATTACATTAAGTAAAAATAAAGTATGGGTCTGACACTACCTGTCCTCCAGTTCACTATAGTAGCTTTATAAGTTACATTTGTTGTCAAAATCTTCGCGAAGGCACGTCTCATCACCAGTCACACTCCTTTTCCGTCGTCTTTTGCTTAATTCCTTCTCCGGGCGAGGAATTTCCCACGGATATTCTACTCAAGGAAATTCACAAAATTAGAAACTCACAAATGTTTTTATGTATGTACTATTCCGACGCGCATAAATTTTTATGTGTTTACGCACCCGTATCAAGTTTTGCAAACTCAGAACAGTACGTCACTCCATCCATCAATTTTATGGGGTCTCCTAGTAATCCTGAATATGGTTCCTGGCTAAGTTCTGTCATGCTCTTCCTGTATTAAATATCAAGTTTATTATTTATTATAGCTGATCCATTCCTATTCATAAATACTCCTTTTTCTCATCGTTGAAATTGTTTCATATTCAACATTCTTTACCAAATATCATTGATCTCATTGGTGAAGACTGGCATTACTGCACTTGTAAATCGATGATGATCATTGAATCCCACCTCTTCAAAATATCTGTTGAGTAGTAAAAATGGTTGCTTTTTTACTGGTTATTTGGTATTTCTTTAATGCGTATGTAAAGACAGCTCTTTTTCACAACCTGTAGCACGCTGTATGGGTGTGTGTAAAAATCTTCCAAACGGTTTCTATTAAAGGTTCCCGTTCTCTTCCTGACGACCCCCATGACACATTTAGGTTTATCATCTGACCAAATTTTTCAAATGTTCCCAATTCCTTCGTGCGGAATCAATTTCATATAAATATAACATTGTTATATTATTATAGTAAAGACAATTTTAAAATTTAATGTACCACAGTTTCATTGCAATTTTCTGCTGAGCGATTCAGAGGGTCAACAAATGGGTATGCGGTAATATTTTGTAGACAAAGGTATAGACTGTAATTGACATTAGAAATTATATGTCAATCCCGCATGACATTTGTAAAGTTAAAGATGTACCTATCTTCAATCCTTTGTTTCGCTGCATAATCGGAAAATGCATCATTGAAATTGAAATTCTTCTTTTGTAAATTCATAAATGTTTGCAGAGCAAGGTCAAAGTGGTTATCTTTCACGTAATGGTTAGGACATGCTTTTTGCATAATTCTTTTAGATAAATCCAGGAATTTGAAAGTGGGAGTGAGTGGGGTCTGGATCTTTGGAGATGTTAAATTGAGAATCTCGAGCGCTCTTGATGTCAAGTAATTCCATATTTGCGAATTCATTTCAGGAAAAGTCATGTTCGCAGTTAAGTTTCGATCCTCATGATACTCTGGAAACTTTGAGTCTGTCCCGTTTCCTTTCGACTCTTCTGTAGCAGTGGCATTGGATTCACCGGTTTTTACTTTCCTCATAAAGGTACGACCCGTATGTTTATCACCACTATCGTCTGATCGCGCAAAGCGATCGGATTGCTTCAAAATTTCTGAACATTCTGGACTGTGAGCTGCTTGATAACACGTTCAATTTTATTGTAGTATTAGTAATTAGAATATTACCATGTACTTACATGTGATGTAAGGGATGCATGATTCTGATGAAATTTTATCTACATCAGGAGTATTACAGTTTGCAGACAGCTTGGTTTGAGGGTTAACGTCTGCCTCTTTCATTCTGTAATAGCAGTATTCATGCGTATTTAAAACGGGCTGATTCTTCCTCAAACACTTGTTATCCTCAAGTCTCCAGTCATTCGCACCACTGGACAACAGGAATTCTGCCTGTCGGCTCGTGGGGATGTCAATCGAGTTTGTTTTGGTGATATCAAATTCTAATCTGCCAATGAGCCTTTTTCTATCATCCATGAAAACAGAAGCCGTTTGCTTCTGTGAATCTGGGGCGGATAGCATGTGGACTTTGGCCATCTTGATGACAACAACAATGCAAGAATAAAAAGTAAATCACAAATAATAGTCATTGTCATAAAGAATTTCAAACCGTGTTGAGTAAAATGCCTAGTTTAAATGAGTTACCGTTTGGTTTAAGAAAATACATTTTTCTTCAACAGCTCCAACAATTTTTGAAGGACCGTCACATGTATTGTCATAAAATGCCCATCTGCATTTCAAGCTACACATTATTATGACTCTTGTCGAAATTAATTATGAACTAACTTACAATCCTGTAATGCAAGCACACGTAACACTGAACGAGGATTTTAGCTCTACTCCAAAGGGACAGTCTTGTCCATCAATCACAAGAGGTGGATCATCTCCTTCGCTGCTGTATATGGACAGTTTTGATGTACAGGCAACATTATTAGAAATGGACAACTTTAAAATCAGGACTAAACTCGAACAGAAAAATCTGATGAACATTTTTCTAGATAACTATATAGAAGTAGCCAGTATTTGATAATACGTAATAAAATGAACAATAATTAGTGACACTGCATCGCACCTTGTCGTCCAAATAAAACTTTACATAATAAAACAATTGTGGAAAGTAAAAGTGAAATTTTTATTTCGAAATGTATTGCATTATTGTATATAAACATCTTCATTCATCACCGTTATTTAATCAGACTACAAGATAATTAGTTTAGTATAGTTTATTCAATCAAACTTGCTTGCAGCACGGCGTTCAATGTTTTTGATAACAGAGACATTCAATAAAATGGTGTGGTACATATATAATTTTTAACAAAAACTGTCTTTACCAACAATATGGATCATTTGCATCAGAATAATCGTCAGGGTTCATTATTTGATAGTACTGCATTGTGATCAAGTCTCGTATTGAGCTAAAAAATTATAATGCAATGAATAAAAAAACGTATTTTATGAAGAATAGGTCCCTTACGCAAGCAGTTGACCTTCAAGACTGCAATCTCTCCAATCGGTCGGGGAAGGATGGGCAATTTTCTGAGCAAGTATTTTTTCCAATGTCGCTCGTAAAGCCTAAATGCAAATTATGAAATGAGTGTATAGTCATGAATTTCATAAAATTATTTTATTTTGTTATAATGACCTCAATCGTATCGCAACCATCTTTGGATATCTTGAACCGGTTCCATCCATCTATTTCAACAAATGAAACTCCTTTGGTAACTTTGTGTGCTAAATTAGCTCCGAAAAAAATCAACGGATAAGGGGAAATCATGGTGGTGTCTAAAACAAAGAATATGCTCAATCTTAGAATTGGATGATTTTTTAGACAACAGCTCTGTACTTACCAAACAGCATTATTTGTTTTAATTTTTGCTTATTATGGTACACGATGAACGGGCACTCAAATTTGGTTTCTTGAGCGTTGACTGACTTTTTGTGTATATATACACTTCCATCTTCTTTGGTTCTGAGAAGAGGAAAGGGAGGCCCCCCTCCTCGTGAATTTTTAAGACGAACCTTGGCAATATCTGCAATTTAGAAACAATGGAAAATCAAGGTATTTCAAAACTTTGAGCAATATGAAATGCATGATACCAGTCAGCACCATGTGAACGTACTTGGATAGAGACCCGCACATACGACAGCCTTAACTAACGCAATATTGGAAGAATTTAGGTTACGTTCAGGATCTTTCGGATTATTGGATGTAAGGAATTTCATATGATGAAGTTGATCACAAAACTGCTGCTTAAAGTCGGTCAGCAATTTACAGGTCGACAAGGACAAAAAGTTTTTGAAGCAGTAATCCCGTTCGCAATTTCTAGCTACAGCTTTTTCGTATCCACTTAATGCTTCAGCAATTGCCTAAATCAAAGGTTGCATATGTGTTATTTATACCCATCTGATATGCCATACCTCATATTATACGACTTTATACGCAGTTATACATATTTAAATACTTACCCAATGGTCGCTTTTTGATCCTCCAGCAAGAGATTTTCGTAGATTATCCACAACATGCTCTTTTCCAAGTGGCATAACAAATGGATCTTTATAGCTTAACGAGGCAGCTATTGAAAATACAGGGTCTACGACCGAAAAAACAGCTCCTAGTAGAATCATTTTGCCAGTTTGAGGATGCATAGGCAAATGACTCAAGTGATACCCTAAGGGTGTTAATTTTTCGTCTGAATTCAAGGCGTGTAGTAAAACTAGTCTATCAAACGAGAGATCAACAGCATGCTTCGAAGGAGGGTCCAATAGTTTTCTCAATAAACTGCGAATATCTCCTACTTTTAATAGCTTTAGTTGTAAAATGACTTCTTCCAGTCTTTTTCTTAGTACTTCGGGCTTTTGGAAATCATCCAGAGTACTTTCTCTAGCTTTGGTGAATAGGTGATAGCAATAGCCTTCCTGAATTCTGCCTGCTCTACCTCTTCTTTGTTTTGCATTTGCTCTGCTTACCCATTCGGATTCCTAAGGTCATAAATGGGGGGTAAAAATTATTACGGATCACTATTAAAAGGCATTTATTACTACCAATGTCTCCACATTTCGAGTCTTGTCAAAGTTTGTCATTTTTATTTTTCCAAAGTCAATGACGTGTACGACGTCATCAATTGTAATACTGGTCTCGGCCTATTTGATGAATAACAGGAATTGGAGTATTTTTTCAATTTAAACTTCCCGTGCTATAAACTACAATATAAAGATAACTTACAATATTGGTAGCAATAATAATTTTACGTTTTCCAGGAGGTGGTCGGTCAAAGATTTGTCTTTGATTTACCGTGGGCATCATTGAATGGAGAGGAAGAATCAGAAACTTATTTTCTGGAAACTTTCCAGATTCGATTAAACGTTTGTTGAGTTTGGAAATTTCGTCCCATCCAGTGACAAATATTAAAACAGCAGAATTGCTATCATCCAACTCTTGAATTTTAATTAAAAGTCGCTCCGTCAGTTTCATGAGAAACTCAAATTTTTCCGACTCTGGCTTCAAAATTTCATTAATAGTTGCAAGTGAGTACTTGCTACGGTCTCGTAGACTTCTTCTTACATAGTCAGTAAGATATTTTGCGTACTCTTTATCACTAAAATAAGGCGTGTAGTTGGAGAAAGGTCCACATGCGTCTTCGTCGATTTCAAACTTAAAATTGAGTTGTTCTGCATTACGTAAAAAACGAAATTAACATGATTAATAGAATATAAAATATCCATTTACATCTGTACTCTGTAGTTGATTTAACCTTTACAGATATAATAATCTGTGTGCAGTCTCACCTATAATGTCTTCAAGGTAGTACTCGTGTACTGGAAATGTTAAACCAGGGATGTTGAACATTGGACATTCTCCAAAGTATGTCGAAAAATGAGTAGCGTTGATTGTTGCACTCATAAGAACAACCTGAGATGCAGATTAATTTATTTATAGCACACGCTCACACAATATATAAAATGGTAAATAAAAACTAAAATCGTACCTTAAGGTCTGGGCGCACCTTAATCAAATCCCTTAAAACACCAATGAGAATATCTGAATTGGTATCTCGTTCTAATTTGAATAATAGAAATCACTCGGTTTAATCATCTTTGGTTATTATTATTAGAAGCAATTTCTTCTACCTACCATGAACTTCGTCAATGATGAGATGACTGTATCTCGTGAGGTGTGGGTCGTCCTTTAAATATTTAAATACAACGCCTGTCGTACAAAAAGTGATGGCTCCTTCGTCCCGTTTTGGTCGCTTACTTTCTAGTCGAATTACATATCCTACCGATTTTCCCCCGACTCTTTCACACCTTTCTTCAGCCACCCGTTCAGCTACACTAACAGCCGAGATTCGTCTTGGCTGAGTACAAAGAATGTTACATACTGATCCTTTCCTTTGCATGATCATGTCATCCAATATATACTGTCCAATCTGGGTAGTTTTACCACATCCTGCAAAACATACATAGAATGGAAAGTAACAAACGATATTATAGAAAGTTTACAATTTAGCTTTTAACCTGTTTCGCCGCTGATAACCACAACCTAAATTTTAAAAAACAAGGAAGGCAAATAAATTAATAATTTTCTCGGCAATTATTACCTAGAGTTTGCTTATGCATACTAATTTTACTTGATTAGCTGCGATGGATTGAATAATTTCTTCCTTGCATTTGCTTGCGGGAAGCCTTTCGCGAAAACACAATAGGTTTTGAAATTGGCGAGTGCTTTGAAACCGGTGCAGATCTTCCAACATCATTTGGTCTTTTGATTCATCTCGTGTTAATTGACATGGAATAATGATGCCTTCAGGCTGAGGTTTTGGATTGTTAATGTCATCTAATAAGACTGAGAAAGAGCAGGATGAGTCAGAAGATGATGATCCGCCAAAGCCTTGTACAGATTTGTCAAACGCAGATATCAGCGATGTTAAGTGACGAGTCATGCTGTGGTTAACTTCAATGTCCATGGCCTAAAGGAATATTAAACAATAATATCAGATCAGCGCATCTTGCATTCACAACAATCAACCACTAATATAATTGAAATCATTCATGAATTACCCCGAGAATTTCTTCCTCTTTAGCCTTCGTCCCTTGTTGGCGTGCGTACCTAAAAACGTAATTTACAAAATGAGTTATTATCATTTTGTCAGTACATTGCAATTCTAAAAAGATACAAACACGTAAGAACAAAGTGCATACCAGAGACCAATGTCCCTGCCCTTTAGATGTGGCGGCGGTCTTTCTCGTGGAGCGTCGTCTACTGCTGCCTCCCGTCTGTCCGAAGTGGAGGGGGTCGAACCTACTCGACGACCACGACCACGACCTCGATTGTAGAGTCTGTGTGATCCTCCACCGCCACCATCTCCGCGACGATTCATCACGCTGGCAGCGGACACGTTTCGCAAAGTTCTCCTGAACAGCGTCCTGTTAATTAAAGATAACTATTGTGTACAGAGATTTAACAATAATAAAACTGCATTGCACAGTGTACTGTAGACGTGATATAATCCGAGCCAATAACTTTTTCTTACGACTCTAACAATGTTAGACGATCGAAGTTAACTACTATAATGAATACGGACATAATTTATGTCACATAAATGTATAAAAATTTAAAATCACGATGCAGGAGTGCAGGACCAGTAATTTTAAGAATCACAAATTAACAATGTTGTAACAATTACCTACAACATAAAACGTCTAGAGAATAGGATTTAAACTGCCTCACGGAACAATTTTTCATGTGCCAGTTCTTAAAAAAAACTCGGAATGAGGATGAATTGAGTTGTGTGTGTCTGACTGAATTCACTACCGCTTCCCAGTTAGGGGCAAAATAGTTATATTGGATGAAAATTGAACACCAAAAAAGAATGTTTGCTTTATGTGATTTATTTACTTATTTGTTTGTAAACTAAAAATTCAAGAGTAATAGATTGAAATCAAAACATTTACATTTACACTGAGGATTATTTTAAACTAGACACCAAACAATATAAAAACAGACGTTTGTTTACACAACATATTCTAATACAGCTATGTGAATTTTTATGTATATTACATTAATAAAACTTAGCATGTTTGTACGAATTTAGACAGCTAATAATACGGTAATCACTTTACATGAGAGGGTTATTCAGACAATATTCGAAATAGAAAAGTGACTAACCCTAACCGAGAGCCAACAATACATTTCACAAGTCTACCAATTGGCTAATTATTTGAAATCTTTCAAAATATACCACGTACATAGATAAGTAGACGTTACATTAAATAAAAAACATGTGTAGAAGCAGCAAGCACAGGCTTGTATCGTGATGGCTTGAGTGAGTGATGTCAAAAATTTAGAAACTAGAAATACTACTGCCCAATTATTGGGGTTGAGCAGTTCCAGGGAATGCAGCTTGAGGAACCATGTTGGCTTGTCCTGTTGAAGTAGGAAAAATATTATAAGTATTATAAATTGTTTCCATTTCGGTGCAATAAAATAATAGGAGTACCTGGTAATGTGAACTGTGGGCGGAAAGATGACAAATTGGTTCCACCTAAACAGTATGAAACGAGATATAACGCTTATTCAATAGTAATTATTATATAATCACTATAATAAACTTATTAACTCACCAAGAGAACTACCTTGAAATCCGGTTGGGAATTGTGATCCGATGCTCCCTGGATAGCAAACAGTAGTGCATATATTAGCAATTAATAATAAGTATTTACAACCAAGATAATCCGTGTAACAATTTTAATTAGATTAACAATGTAGCAATTTGATATTTATTTACGCATAAATTACCTGTAGCAGATGCTGATGAGGAGCCACTAGATGAAGTACTTGCTAGTCGAGACAAAATCTGTCTCTCCGACATTTGCAAACGTTGTGCAACGGGAGGAATTCGAGCTAACGTTGCTGGCAATCTACTAACATCTGACTTCATGTCTGACAACAGTTCTTCCAATTGGTTCAACACCTACAAAGTTTAGCATAATTGATTAAGTGCTTGCATAAGTTGGTATGTTCAATTCAAGTGCATAAAAAAATACCTTGTGCAAAACTGCATTAGCAGGTTTGTTTCCTGCTAAACTTTCTTTGGCCAAGTGTTGATGACTAAAAGAAAAAAAAACAAGATACATAATTTATTAATTACATTTACATATAATAGCTTGTAATAAATAAAAGTCAGAAAAACGAGGATTCCTACCTTTCTGCCAAACATTCTACTTCTGCAAATCGAGAGTTAAGAGCCATCGCAGGGTGATTTGTATCTTGCGATAGATTCAAGTATGCTGCCCGTCGGAGTTGTTCTTCAATAACCAAGGCTTGTTCAAGCAACTAGAATTGTTTACATATCGATATACTCAATAATAGCTCCGTCCAACAGCACCATGATGTACGTATAACGTATGCATTAGTTACCTTAAAGCGCCGAGCAAGAAACTTGTTCTTTATTTCGAGAAAGTTTCCCTTTCCCACGTCCATTTTGAATGGCTCGTTAATGATAGCGTAGCGGGGATCATTTTGAATATCTTGCCATCTGCCATACCCATGATTAACAACTCCACCCAAGAGCCAGTAGTCATGTCGTCGGTGCCAGATTTCATATTCACGGCCAGGAACAGCGGCTTTTTCTTCATTTTGCCACAACGTATGTAGTTCAGTGAATCCTCCATCAGCAATGTTGAACATGAACTTTCTCTTCTTTCCACCAGGCTCATCAGTCTTCACCTCATCTTTCTCTCCATTTTCTTTCTTCTCGCTACCATCTTCCTTATTATTATTTTTAGCCTCATCCTTGGACTCTTTTTTTACTTTGGATTTAGTCTCAGCAGTTCCTTCTGTCTTTTCAACAGCTTTTTCTTCATTACTACTGGTGGTGGACGTTGATTCGTCATCATCCTTTTCTTTTTTCGTTGACATAGCTAGATCGATTGCTGTATTAGGTTTCTCGTCAATTTCCATTGGTTCTTCTGATTTAAGGAGCTGTTGTTTAGATTTCTTTTCTTCCTCTTCCTCATCATCATCGTTCAACATCTTTTCAGCAGATACCGTCGTCTCAGATGATGGTTTTTTCTCGACATCAGGCTTGTCTGCCTTGTCCTCGCTACTAGCATCTTCTGGCTGTTTTTCATCCGCAAGGGTTGATGAACTTTGTTCTTTATCGTTGTCTTCAGCAGCTGCGGCTGCTGCGATTTTATTTGCTTCTTGCATAGCTGCTGCTTCTGCGGCAAGTGCTGCTGCTTCCGCAGCTTGTTTAGCTAGAAGCCTTTCAATGACTTCCGGCATACTGTAAAGTCCATTTATGTGTTCGAATTCCTGAACCTTTTTCCTAATTAGAGCCATAACCCCGATTCGAGTGAGAACATGTTGTCGGCTAAGTCCTTCCCTTGGAACACCATCAGCAAATGTCTCGGTGTTGTCAGCACCAGGTTCACAGAGATGTCGCATGAACAAGGACACGTAGGCCTTGAAACATTTTTCTGCCTTCCCCCGCAAATCTCTCACAAGCCTACATGTACCGAATATTAAATATTATTATTCTACATATGTACATGAAAAATTTAGGATGTTTATTTTTCAATTACCATTGAGTGTTGAATGCGTCCTGGTGGGCATCGAGGTGGCACAAATAGGCGCGAAAAAATCAAACAAGAGATGTTACTCACACGTTGTATTAATTAATTTCATACATAAATAGATAAATTTAGAGTTAAAACTTGTTGCGTAAGTTAAAATGCAAGGTTTGTTCTATTCAAATGTACTAATCAGTAAAATTGAAATTTCAAAACCAATTAAACTTACTTGAGGTGGCATTCCATAACGCATGATAGCATTAAGAAAAGCTTTGCGCTGACGAGCATTAAATCCAAGGACCTGGGTAATAATATTATTACGATTTATTAATATTGCATTACTTATGAGCAGCATGATAAAATTAACTAAAATGAACTGTTGTGGACACACCCCTTTAACAACCTAATTGTTCTAACGTATAGGTTGTCCTAATGATGTGTCCATATAATTATAATATATGTCCATTGTACAAAATAGTAAGAACATACTTTTCTTAAATGTTAATTGTAACTGGACACTTTTATCAATATCACGTTATTTATTTAATGTTCAATACCTCAATATTCCCTCCCACCCGGGCCAATAGTGGAGGTAGAGGCCGATCGCGTTCCTCTCTTCGGTTATCCATTCCACGTCTTCGTCTTCGGCCACCTGGCTCGGCTGATAGATAAATAAATTTAAAAAATTATTATTTCAATTGTCAAGAAATTAATTAATATACTTGTGCATTTAATTACCGTCATTTTTCTCATCAAAATCGTCATCCTCTCTGTCATCATCCGATGGAGCAGAAAAGTCAGAGTTGTAATCTGACACATTTTCTTGCCAATTCGTTTCTTCACGCCCGTCATTTGTATCGTTGTAATTAACCTGCTTTCGAACACGTTTGCCTTTACCCAGTGATCGTGCAATATCCTCTTGCTGCTGTTCGTAGTGGTGCCTCAGGAGTTTTTCCCAGTACGCTGGATCAGAATTCTCAGCCTCCTGCTTGATGACTTCAGTATCGACTTCCTCCTTAACAATGCAGAAAATTGCCCAAATTAGTTCACAATTAAGGATTTCATTAATTATAAAATTATTTTGTACTTACCTCTTCTCCTTCTTTCACAGCATACGCAGCAACTTTAAAAGATGACAAATATTCGTTTGCCCAGTTTTCTTTCTGTTCAATTCCTTCCTTTGAACGGTCAAGAAGATCTCGTATCGCATCATCGGTATAATGAATGGCATCATCTTTGCCATCTTTCCCTTCCTCATCTTTGAAAAGTTCTTCTGTTCCAAATCGAATGATATCGTCCAATTCTTGTTTCGAAAAATTGCCACCCTTTCCCATTCCAGGTCGAACAACCAAATGGGTCAACATCATTTTCTTTTTAGCAACCTGTGTCACCCTCTCTTCAACAGAATTCCGCGTAACAAACCGGTAGATCATAACTTTATTTGATTGACCAATTCGATGCGCTCTTGAAAAAGCTTGGATATCATCTGCAAACATTAACAAACAATCCATATTATTAGCATTGAGAAATTAAACACAAAGTGGGCAACATTTTCAGGGTAAAATTTTAGGTTACAGAAGGTTAGCATGAAGTATTTTGCACATACTATGAGGGTTCCAATCAGAGTCGTAGATGATCCTGAGGTGATACAAACAATAAACAAGATTAGAGTGATCTATACTCATAAATGATGTAGTTTGTGATTTTCATTATAAAGCAATATGGGATCAAAATAACTGGTCCCCAGTCAAAATCCATACAGTACACGTTTTTATTTACTTACACCGTGTCAGCAGTAGCAAGGTTAATTCCTAGACCTCCAGATCTTGTAGATAGAAGGAACACAAATTGTTGGGCACCAGGAGCATTGAAACTGTTGAGAAAAAAAATATTTATAAATGTAATTCTTATACGGGTTGAGGTTGATAACTCACCGATCAATAGCTTCCTGTCTCAGAGACCCAGTGACGCCTCCATCAATGCGCTCATACTTGTATTGTTCTCCATCCAAGAAATCTTCAAGTATGTCCAACATTTTAGTCATTTGCGAGAATATAAGAACTCTGTGTCCTTGTCCTTTTAAAATCCGTAACATTTTTTGAAGTAAAACAAGTTTTCCGGACGCTTTAGCGAGTGCATTTACTTCAAACATTCCATTTGGTAGAGTTGGAGCTGGAGTTCAAAAATAGACATTTAAGACGAGTGACCAATAACAAGTGATTTATTAAGTAATTTTCTAACCTTCCATCATTGCCGCCGAAAACAAGTATGGATGGTTGCAACACTTTTTCAAATCCATCATGACGTTCAATAATGTGACCTGAGGTTTAATAAAAAAACGGTTATTTATAATAAAATCAAGACCCGAATTTGTAATTGTCGAATAACAGCAAACGTTAAGTAAGTATTATAGCACAAACCTGATGTCCTCCAGCCTTGTTATTCAATGCTTCAAAATTTCTAGTTAAAATGTATTTGTAGTATTTTTTCTGCATGGGTGCAAGTTCTACACGAACAATGAATTCTGACTTGGATGGCATATTCTGAAAGTTATAAAAGTTTACAATGAGATATATTTAGTTAAGATAATATTAAAATAACAAAACGAACAAAAAAACAATCTTGATACCTTTAGCACATCCGCCTTTAAACGCCTCAACATGTGAGGTCCCTATTTTAAAAATTGTTAACAGAAATTGCATTATTGTACTATAACAATTGAGAATTTTCATTATATTAATAATAAATCTTACAAGCATGTCATGTAACTTTTTCACTTGATCTTCCTTATCAATTTCGGCAAATTCATTTTGAAATACTGCGAGATCGTTAAATTTTTCAGGGCACAAAAAGTTCAACAAGTGGAACAATTCTTCCAAGTTATTTTGCAGGGGAGTTCCGGTTAGCAAAAGTTTATATTGGATTGGGTAGTTGTTGAGGATTCGGAAAAACTATAAAATATCATCACTATTAGTCAAAATCAAATATATTACAATCAAAAGGCTACATAATGAATTTTTGAACCTTCGACTGATTATTTTTCAATCGATGAGCTTCGTCGACAACAAGTACAGACCAGTCAACCGATCCCAAGCATGCAGCATCAATGGACACCAACTCGTAAGATGTGAGTAACACATGAAATTTTACAGACCCTTTCAGTCTGCCAGCTTTGGGACCTCCACGAACAGCTCCCTCATCATAGGACAATTCTATTGACAAAATAAATTAAATATAATAACTTCATAAAATCAAAAATCGATGGTCTTATTTTGACTTGCCATGTTCTCGAATCACTTGTCTGGAGTCTTTGTCTCCACTGTATGTGACCACATAAAAATCTGGTGCCCAGGTCTCGAACTCTCGCTCCCAACTAGATTTTAGAATTTAAATTGAAAATGGTTAGAAAATATTAAATGTGTGCTTATTATGAAAAAGATTTACTTGATAATCGTAGACAGAGGGGCGCTGACCTATTATAGGGAACAGGTTCAGAATTATAAAACAATTTTTATATAGTGCATGCAAAATAGAGTTAATTAATTAGTAAACTTACTAAAAATGGCCCTCGACAATGTCCTTCTTTAAACAATGCATATAAAAACACGATCGTCTGGATTGTTTTACCCAGACCCATCTCATCTACAAAAAAAGTTTAGTAAATTAGTACATATCATCAGCACTTTGCATTAAAAGTTTTAATCGCTTACCGGCCAAGATGGTGTCTATACCCTGACCCCAGGAATAGCGCAACCAATTTAGCCCTTCGATCTGATACTCATGAAGGGCTAGTCCACTTGACAAAAATCCAGGTTGCTTCTCGTATTTTTTCTTTAAATCCATATTAGCACGATCCGGGAAAGGATTGATATATTTGCTAAAATAATTTTTTGCTAGTTAATGTTACATTTATGGTATTGAAATACGGAAAATTTTAACAAGCATTAAATTAAACAACTAAAATTAAAAATTAAGCATTAAAAATATGTTTTTAATGCCTCTATGTGAATAATAATACACTTACTACACGAGCTCTCGCCCTTTCTTTCCCTTCTTATCTTTTTTACGACCTTCGCCAGTTGCCGCAGCACGGAATTCCTGCAATAATGGTATGCAAGTTAGTTAATGGTGACTGAACTGTTGTTTTAAAAAATCGAACTAACGTGACTAAACGTACGTAATAAATATCGACGTGTTTCTTAAACTGAGGAATTTCTTCGTCTTCATCTTCCCATGAAATTCGATCATATGACAGTTCTCGCCATTTCACCAAGTATTGGTTTATTCCGTCCCGAAGCGTACGGTGGTTTAATACTCTGTGGATTTGTAGCCATTCTGGGCGAATGCCATATTTGTAAAATCTTTCGTCCAACGGATCCACTTCTGCATCTGGTTTCTTGCGTCTTCTGGACAGCATATTGTCGTCATCTTCAAATCTTGGTGGTTCGTCATAATCAACTTTCTTGAAATAGCTTCTAATCAGAGTTGCATGGAAAACGTCCATGGCTAATTCCGTTACCCACGAGCAGTGCCAGTACGACATACCAGCCCAAAGAACAAAAAATTCGCGAGTTGGTTTAGGAGCATACTTTCGCTCTTCGGGGGACATTAATGCAAACTTGGTTCGCTCTTCATTTGTTTCGACCCATCGCCATGTTAAGATCTTTGCAACTTTTCCAGGCAATTGCTCACACTAGAACATAATGTACAAAAATAAGTAAATCAATAGTCTAAAAAATATATTCTTATTCAATGTACGTACTGAACATCGTGGACATCTCCAATCACCATCTGGAATCTCCTTTAGGGGTGGATTCAAGCAGAAAGTGTGATACGCCCACGGACACGAGTCACAGCAAAGAAGTTCTCCGCCGTCTTTACATTTTCTACAAAACTCGTTGTGTTCATCGTCCTCTTCCGCTTCTTTCCCTCCTTCGGCTTTAAATTACAAGAAAAAATTGTTAAAAATAATATCTTCAAAGGAATAGTCAATATAAATATATTGCTGCCAATTTAGTTCAATTTTTTCATCAAAAGTCCGTAGCATAAAGTGCTTACCCTCACAGTGGGGACACGACCATCTACCCTCTGGAGCCTCTTCCAATTCGGGTTCAAGACATACAAGATGATATGCTCGAGGACAGCTGAGTAAAGGTAAAATAAAGTAATTTTTACTTTGGCATACACGCAACACGCCTTTCTTAAGGGACTATTATATCAATACTCAGTTACTCACGTGTCACAGAGAATAATTTCTCCACCTTGTTGACAGACTTCACAGTAATCTTGATGCTCTTGCTACAATTAAAAAAATACAATGTGAAAAATTTGAAAACAACCTACAATTAAATTGGCAATCACGCAAAACATGTCTTCGATCGAACGTACCTCTTCATCTTCATTTTTGCCTGCACCAGGTTTTTTGCCTTTGCCTTTCTTCCTATATTTATTCCCAATTTTAGTTTTAGCCTTTTTTCTGGGCCCGACGCTCGCTGGGGTACTTGGCGCTTCTTCTTCTTTCGAAACTTCTTCAGCTTCTTTAAGCATTTGTTCAAATTCAGCATCAGAATCCTTGTCAGACACACTTGGTGCTTCATCTTCGTCCTATAAATAATTAAATTGCATTCATATTTACAAATCCAAATCTGAATTATAATATATGTATATATATTATAGTATATTATTTGACTAACACCACATACCGAACCACCACGTTTTCGCTTTCCAATTCTAATTTTCAATGTAGGAACTTTGGTTTTACTTTTCGCAGAGGAGGAGGATGAGGAAGCTGGGGTCACCGACTTTGGTACTTTCCTGCTACTTCGTCTATTACTTTTTCTGGAGGATGATTTGCTGTCGTCGTCATCATCATCAATCTCTTCATCTTCAACGATTGAAGGTTTTCCTTTTTCTTCGTCTGCTCCTTCAACTAATTCTGGATAATCTATACTAAAGTCTCGCCACTTTGCTGTTATAAGAATAAAATCATTTTTTAGTCAAAGTTACATGCATGCATTGTTTAAACATATATCAACGATTGTTTTGTTTCGTTTACAAGGTATATTTAAAAACTACGATTGAATAGAATAAAGAACTATCTTAATAGTAATTTGCAGTCGTCTTACCTTGAACAAGAATCATTACTTTGGGCATTGGAACCTACAGTGTAATAATTAAATAATAGGTCAAAGAAAGTAGTCTACGCACAAATGCCTGGTGCATACTAATGGATGCTAATTACGTACCTTGGGATTTTCTTTTTGAATTATTGGTCGCACTAACTGTTGAAACTGCTTGTAATTTATATTCTGGTACTCTTCTTCATTATAGTCTATCTCCACGTCTTGCAACCCATATGATTCACATACTTCCACTGCTGTGGGACCTTCAACTGACAAGTAAAATTCAATCTCATTAAATTGCATTTTAATATACAATCGTTGAATATTTATAGTATTTTGGGTTAACCGATTTGATGGGACTACTTATTTACCTCGACTCTGTTGTGGAGTATCTGGTGCAGATTTTGGTGTTCGAATACGTTTACTACGTTTCCCCGTGCCGTAGTCTGATTCTTCAGGGTTTGTTTCTTCTTCGACGCTTACACCTCCAAATTCTTCTTCTTCTCCACTTTCGGATGCTTTCTTTTTCTTTTTCTTCTTTTTAGACTTCTCTCCCCTGTTTTTTCGTTTACTCTTCATTTTCTTTTTCTTTTTTGACGCTTCTGGATCCTCATAATCCTCATCATCTTCTGGATCCTAAAACAAGACCAATGGCATTATTGCACTACTATGTCACATATAAAGCGGAAGGAAGCCCTCAGAAGAGGTGTATGTATAAGTTTAAATTTTTAATACGATTTTGCCGACCTGCATGGTCAGATCATCGTCGCCCGACAATTCTTCCTCGTCTCGTTCAACACTTTCTGGCTGTTCCCTGTTGCCATCTTCAGGTTCGGCTACTTCTTGTTCTTCTCCGTCCCCACCACCTGAACAAAAGAACATTATTAATTTTAGTAAACGAATAAAATACTGCATTAAGCAATGAGAAAAGTATTAATACTAAACACAAGACAACACTAAAAACACTTCCTAAGTTCAAAATGTGTTCAACTTACGTCGAGATTTCGAACTTCGACTCATTTATTCATATATTTTAGTATGAATTTTTCAAAATTTGTTCAGTTATACTGAACCCTTCCACAAAGGACTAAATAAAATACGTTTTGTATATCTTCACTATATAATGGTTGAATCAATCAAGAGGATAAATAATTGATTGTCAATACTAATTAAAAATTAAATCGGGAATAAAGTAGAGGTGAACGGGTCGTGTTGACGAGGAGCGGAGGAGCAAAAGGGCAATTGTGCGAAAAAACGATTTGATTGGAAGTACCAGCGCATATGCAATAATTTTACCATCCTCCGCCATTAATGACCTCGCCAGAGTAATTTCGGCATCAATTCCGCTCTGGGTGGTGGTGTTCTTACTCTCGCAATAGCCACCCACCGCACGACCCGTCGGTGTTTCAAAACTCATGAATTTTGCGACATGCCACGACACGAAGGAAGCCGGAGAGGGTTGCCGAGTAAATTTGGGGGTGTGGTCTTACCTGGAACGGACTCCAACTCATTGTCGGAAGACATTTTTGATCAGAAATTAAATTTTCAAAAATTATTTTCAAAAACCAAATTCAGTCAAATCGACTGACACAAAGAGTGAGAAAGAGAAGCGGGAGCAACAACCCTCACCACCAGCAATCCTCTAACACTCGGCTGCTCGGGGGTCTCGGGGGTCTCCGTCGCTACAGGGTCGTCCTAATCCTCAGAGCAGTGCGCACATGTTGACGCACAGCCACTTTTTCCACCCCGTGCATGCAGCCGCTTATGCATTAGGCATCCTCCGCCATGCATTTTCATACCCTTCATCAGCAGAATGCAAACTACCTTTCATAAGGATTTGCATTGTGGCGTTGGGGTAGCGTTGCTTGTGTATGATTTCATTTCACGTCAAGCTGCAGGGACCCATAAGAAAAGATCTCAGGTAACACAGACAGGTAAGAGGAAACCAACAATTTAACTATATAGTTATGGCAAGACGAGAGCCGATTCCCAGTGTTGTGCAGTGATCAATTACACCAACGTCTTGACGCTCCTAGTCACCAACAGCGAATGGGAGTCAAAAATTGTCTAAAATTTCCTAATCTCAGTCTGACTTGTCTGCATAATCATTTTTCCGCAAGTTTGAACCTACCCCCACGACGAGTCTGAAATTCGAATTATGATTTCCACAGTCAATGGTCACTCGAAAAATTGTTGCATGCAGGATTAGTATTTATCTCAATTGAGACGAGGGAGATTTGCTCAAGTGTGTACCGTGTGTAAAACCAAGAGGACAGTGTAATGGTCGTTCTTCTCATCAATTGCAATCAGCATTGGGATTTTTAAGTATAATGTCTTCCGGAAATTGGATCTACCCGTGTGTGCTCTTTTTCGTCATCATCAACGGGAGGACTGCGTGGACTAGTTCAGGTATTAATTCGTAATAGAACTCTGCGTGGTGTCAATGTCAATGTCATAATTCATATGTGGGAAATCACAAGTCTCGAACAAATTTTCACCCTCAACATGAATTATTTTCGATTCTTGCAACGCATAATTCACTCAGTAGTGCAACGTAACGGGATTTACATGATGATGATGATGTAGGTGCTCAAGTGAAAGTTGTACGAGCTTCGAAATAGATGGTCGTGGTGCATGGATCGTCATGATGCAATAACGCTACTTACTACTTACATACATACATATGACTAGTTAGTTGTTTGTGCATGCAGTTACTTCTCATGAGTTTTGCAGAGTCTCATCAAAGATAGTCTCAACTAACTATAAACCACTGCTTAGGATTAGTACTTACACGCTACTACTGGGAATAGACAGACAAACCTATCTTAGCATTTTCATTCTATATTAAGTCTTGAATGTTGGTTGTAAAATTATTTCTAAGGCGGCTGTAATAATGCACGCAGATGCATTATTTCATTGTTGATTGTTATGTCGTCGTCCATATTTTCTAATCGCCGTGTATGAACAATCAATCTGGGAAGTAGTGTACTACCTACCGCAAATTCATATCTCAGCCATCATTATTACATACCGAAGGAATAATATGTACGAAAGAATGGGCTCACGACTTGTTGTAACACAATAATTATGCAGATGTTCATGATACATATTAATAGTTGTATGTTGATAAGAAATGGCTGAAATTTTATTATTTTTCTACTATTTCTTGCAATTGTGCTCATAAATCGAATTATGAAAAGGTATTATTAGGTCCCAAAGGCCACAAACCTCAAACCAAGCCGGTCTAGTCTAGACTAATAAAGTATAATTCATAGAAATTTCTTGATAGACTGATTAAATTATTGCCCGATAAGTAATTTATCAATTACCACTCTCTCAAATCAATTCCAACATTGGAACATCCAAACTACTATTAATACTTTGTATGTCAATTTTTCTGGCTGTCAAATGTAAGTACACACAACTTGTCCTTTGCAATAATGTTACTCCACAACTCCACATTGTGAGACCCCGTAATATTAAACCATATGAAATAAATGTTAATATTATACATACGTTTCGAATCAGTGACAACATTATTTATTTCCCCAGAATTTCACTTCATCATGGGAAATGGAAAGTTAAAAAATATAGTACAGTCGTCACCATTTTACTTTAGTAGTAATCCATCACGTTTGAAGATTCCAATCTTCATTAGTAAAGTGTGGAATAAAAAATAGCATGGATTTCCAGGCATTGAGACAAAGATAAACTGACGATATAAATATTCTCGCCTAAATTAGCAATGGCGCTATGGGCCACTTTGCTTTATTCTCACGAGAAGTTTGCTGTACACGGTGCTGGACAACTCTCCATCTAGAATGTAAAAACTTTTAATTTTTTGGTTACGCGAAATTGTGTATAAACAGGATGTATGGATCTACGTACAACGCGTGCTTGTGGGGAATGACTAAACATTTTTATGATCATGATAAATGGAGTCAGTTGACGAATAAGAATACGAATGAGCAAATAAGTATATGCAATTATATATCCGCAACACCACAGCGATCCGCTGTATGGAATTGCATGGATGAATTGAGTTTCGATGTTTTTTTTACATTTTCTTGGAAAATTGATGTTTGAGTCACTCCACAATATAATGGCGAATGGTCACCAACCGCAAAACTATTATGGGACAAAACGATGGCCAAGACTGTATTGAAATTATATAGTATGCTCAAAGGTGTGTTGTATGGCCCTACAGCAACAACTTATTGACATCTCTATATGACAATCGAGTAAAACAGAAGATGTATAATTATACATGTATATAAAAAACGAGGAAGGGCATACGAGCTTGTCAAAGTAGACGTTTAGGACATTTTGAAAAAAGTCTTTCAATTTCTTTTTAACCCTTTCCTTCGTAACGATGGATATATCCGTCGCCGAATTTCGAACGTTGCTGCGGAACAATGGAAATATCCGTCGTCATAAACTTGGCGTTGTGACGGAATAGAGGATATTTCCATCCTATTTTTTTAGGCGTTGCGACGGAGCAACGGATAAATCCCTTGTCTCAAAATTCGGCATAGATACGGAAAGAAGGAAATATCCTTTCCTCTGGTCATTGACTTTAGTGCGTAGTGAAGGATATTTCCTCTCATTGAAAAAATATTTTTTCCATGGATTTACGCATCTTGAAAAAAATCCGATTTTTAGCCCGAGTCAGGGGTTGTGTATGTATGCATGTACCTGCTTTGTCCGGTGTGTCTGCCTGTCTGGTTATCAATAACTCTCGTAAATCTATCCTATCAACTTTAAATTTTGTACTATACTTTGTCATTTTTAATTTTCCAAAATTTCAAGTTGATAGAATAAGTTTCACGAAGGTCAAGACGCAAGACGGACGGATGGACAACACGGGAACATAAGTCCTGGGTCGGGCTAAAATGTCTCCATGATTACGTCATTTTTGAAATGAAATGCCTCCACAGAAATTTGAGATAATTTTGGAAATATATCCATGGAACATATCACTGAAATTTACATTTGCTCCGTGATATAGCTTTGATAATTAAAAACCTACAGTGCAGACTCCATATAGCCCGAGTCAGGGACAGAGTCCGTGACTCGATACGTCCGAGTCCTCTTCTAAATTCTTATCTCAATTGACCTACATACTAAAGCTGCATATAGTCCAGAAGTGGTTTTTGGTCTTCATACCAAATTTCAGACGAAAATAACAACTTTTTAAAACGGTATGGATCCCCCAGGATCACTCTGGTTGCATTTTGCAAACTTTGAACTTCATATTATTTCATGCGAAGCCAACACGGTATCACCGTGTTGGATTTCATCTTTTTAAACCACTTTCTATATCGGTATGGGTCACCCCATAGGGTCGCTCCAGATAAAAATTTTACCAATTTCATTTCATATTCTTCCATTAAGACCTACACACAACCCGTGTACCAAATTTCAGCTTGATATGACGATTTTGAAAAATCCGTATGGGTCACCCCCTAGGGTATCTCAAGATGAAAATTTTTCCAACCTGAAGTTATTTTTTTCTATTAGGAGCCATTAGCAACCTCTGTACCAAATTTCAGCTTTCTACGACAATTTTGAAATTTTGGTGCATAATACCCCACCCACTCCGATGACCCCCACCGGTCAACCACTTGACCGATTTCGCCCATCTTCGAACTCGTTTCCTAACTTTGTCAAATATGGACATAGTAAAAATTTCAAGTCAATCGGTTCAGCCGTTTTGGCTCTATCGTGCCGGACAGACAGACGGACAGACAGACAGACGGACAGACAGACAGACGGACGGACATGATGGTTCCATAAGCCCTGACTCGGGCTAAAAATTGCTACGCCAAGCTGTGGTTGTGAGGCGTTGCTATTCCGCAGCAACGGGATATTTTTGAGAATTCTCTTACGAAGGAAAAGGTTAAAATGATATATTTATATGATCTCATTTTAATCGGTGCGAAGTATCTACCTTCAAGGGAAGTGTGGTTTTTGTGGAAAGTTGACACTTTATTAAAGCTCGAGAAAGCTACCTTTTCTACCCACACCCGGAAAAGAAAATAAACTATAGCCAGATGATATCCCCACCTTGTAGGTAAACTTTATAAATTAAATTGTTTGTGTTATGGTACTAATGCATTTTGGACACTGTCCATTGAAAACCAAGCAAAATGCATTCACATAGTCTCGCATAGACACACTTGAAGTGCACTTACAAAGTACAGATGAAGTTATTAATTTATTTGGCAAAACAATGCAAGATGGAATTTTGCAGATGGACAGGAGAAGAGTCACACCATATTGAAATCTACATTATAAGCTGGAAATGTCTGTTGGCAACGGAAGTGAAAGTAAATGTTCCGCAACGGAAGTGAAAGCAGAGAAAGTGAAGTTTCGAATGGCGCAAAAATTCAAAACAAATTAAAAATTCAAAAATTAGGAGTCAGATGTTAGTTATCTAGGGGTGGTTATCTAGGAGTGGTTGTCTGATGGTGCTTATCTGGTAGTGGTTGTCTGATGGTGCTTATCTGGGAGTGGTTGTCCGATGGTGCTTATCTGGGAGTGATTGTCTGATGGTGCTTATCTGGGAGTGGTTGTCTGATGGTGCTTATCTGGGAGTTGGATGGTGCTTATCTGGGAGTTGGATGGTGCTTATCTGGGAGTTGGATGGTGCTTATCTGGGAGTGATGGTCTGATGGTGCTTATCTGGGAGTGGTTGTCTGATGGTGCTTATCTGGGAGTGGTTATCTGATAGTGCTTATCTGGGAGTTGGATGGTGCTTATCTGGGAGTGGTTGTCTGATGGTGCTTATCTGGGAGTGGATGTTTGATCGTGCTTATCTGGGAGTGGTTGTCTGATGGTGCTTATCTGGGAGTGGATGTTTGATCGTGCTTATCTGGGAGTGGTTGTCTGATGGTGCTTATCTGGGAGTGGTTGTCTGATGGTGCTTATCTGGGAGTGGTTGTCTAATAGTAGCTATGCTGCGTGGTTATTTCACTGCGAAGTGAAGTGGAAATTAGTTAGATTCAGAGTTTCATCACTTCTGTGGAAGTGAAGTGGAAGTGAGTTCAAGGATCCAGAGTTTCGTCACTTCTGTGGAAGTGAAGTGGAAGTGAAGTGGAAGTGAGTTCAAGGATCCAGAGTTTCGTCACTTCTGTGGAAGTGAAGTGGAAGTGAGTCCATCTCTACGACGCAGGGTTTTGTCACTTCTGTGGAAGTGGAAGTGAAGTGGAATTGAGTTCATGGATCCAGAGTTTCGCCACTTCTACAATTAACAATTCTGTACGAGTTTGTCACTCCACTGCGGAGTGGAGTGGGAGTCAGACAGGAGTACTCGGAATTTGTCACTCCACTTCGGAGTGGAGTGGAGTGGAAGTGGAGTGGGAGACAGAAACGAGTACTCGGAATTTGTCACTCCACTGCGGAGTGGA